TTGTTGTTGTTGTTATAGTTCCATTCTCTTTGACATAGTCTCTTCATAACTGAAAATGTCACCTGGACCAGAGTCAGGGCCCCAGCCCATGGCTCAAAACAACTGGCCTTTAAACTTCTATCAACTTGACAGCAGCATGCGGTTATAGTGCATCTGCTTCATACTGTTTGCTTCTCCTTATGGGGACGCATTTTTTTTTTGTTTTAAGTTTATGTATTTATTTTGAGAGAGAGAGAAAGAGTGTGTGAGCAGTGAGGGCGCAGAGAGAGGGAGAGACAGAATCCCAAGCAGGCTCCGCGCTGTCAGCACAGAGCCAGATATGGGACTCAAACTCAGGAACCACGAGATCATGAGCTGAGCAGAGATCAAGAGTCAGTTGTTTAACCAACTGAGCCACCAAGGCGCTCTTACAAGGACACATTTCATGACTCGACAGAACCATAAACCATGTCCTGGTGGCTACATTTAATATTAAATCCATGGAGGATTAAAGATTAGCATTTAGAAGGCCAGCCATATATGGTATGACATGAGTGAACTGTGGCTTTAATAAGAGTAACTACAATCATGATGTCCAATGAGTTCAGTATGAATCAAAACAAAAGGACGACCAAAGGATGGGGAAAATAACATTTAAAAAGAACCCCAAATCTCAAGAAATGATTTGACCAGAGTGTGAAAACTTCCTGAAGTTATTTTCCTATGAGAAATATAAGACAAATGATTTGAGTTGAAAGCACTGAACAGAAGAAAGGACTGTACTTTCCATTACTAGAGATGAGGTCCTATCTAAAGAAAACTCCTGTAGCTGGTTAGTATCTCTGTGCCAGATCGAGTAAATCACCTGTAGAGATTTACAGGTGAGGGAGAACGGGAGCAGCAGAAGGGGAGATAATTTTGGGGTATCGTGTGATAGCAGCAGGAAAAGGTGGCTTGGAGGAGATAAGGGTAAGGTGTGAACTCTTAGCTGAGGGGCTGTGGTTCCTGAAAATAACCATGTCCATGAATGCTGATACTAGAGGGCCTGCAGGGATGAAAAACTCAATTCACACCCAGAGTAGAGGATGGCAGGTGACAGATGGGTCCTATACGGTCCATTAGGGGTTTAGAGGTGTCCTTCTGGAGTATAACCATGTTCATTTGCTCCTAGTTAAAAATGGTGTAATTCAAGGCATTTAAGGAGCAAAAGCGTCTTCGAATCAGATGCATTGAAATGGAAAAATATATCAAGAACAACCTGGCTCACTTTATTCATTTGGTCTAGAGTAGCAGCCCACTTGGACTGTATATAGGACAACGGGATGAAGAATGGAGCTCTTATTAAAAGGAACTACTCATTATTTTCTTTTAGTCTTACTTAAGCATACGGCAGGAGTAGTTAAGATGTAAATGGGTATACCTGTTCTCCAGAGAACAGTGTCATAGAAGAAGGAAAACTCCATCTCAGTGTGGTGCTCCAAAGAAGCCCAGCCCCTGGGGGCTGTCACATAGATGTAGGACACATAGAGAGGCACGTGCACGGTCAGGAACGACTGAGCAGAGTCTCTCACCTGCCAAGCAAAAGGTGTGCACACGGAGGGTTATTTCCTCCCTGGGATGAAAAGGCATATGGTTACATCTCAGTTCAATTTTTACCTCACTTATTTAGTTACTTCTGCAGTCAGTAATTATAACCAAGTACCCACAACCGTGCTGGGCACGTAGGTGCCAGACCAAGCTTCTTCCTCAGCAGTGGAAAAAGCCCAAATCACTGCCATTATGGAACCTATAGTCTAGTAGACATACATAAATTTTAAAAATAAAGAAAGGGATAGGAAGTGTCCAGGATGCTTCTTTCTATAGGGTGATCCGGGAGGGCTTTTCTGAGGGGGTGATACTTGAACAAAAACATTTCTGAAGACTGAGAAGGAGATGTGCCTCCACTGTTCAGTTGCCTTGGACAAGATTTTAAAGGCACACAGTTATTCCCAACGGATCAGTACATAGTCCCTCACTGACCACATTTTCCAGTGGCCTATAGGAGAGCCTGAATCAGCCCTAATTGGGAAGATGCCCAAGTCTATTCACATCTCTGGCAACAGGAAATGAGGTCATGGGATTTGGATATCATATCTAGGAAACTTCCCAACACACAGTTCAGAGCTGTGTGTGTTTGGGCAATTTCCCATCTCCTACAATACCTCACGGAAATACTTTTGAAAAGGCAACGCATCATACTTCCAAGAGAATATTTCTTCTAAGGGAATTCCTGTTACTGCTATTAACTTGGCTCAAACATTTTTATTTAACTATGCAGTGAACAAAAACTGGATGGAAAGATAACAAAATATAAACGGAAGCTTTCATGGAGAAGCTAACTGCATGTACGTGTGTATGAATGGGAGAGTTGGTTTATTCATTTTATATTTTCCTCCATAAACACATATTTCTTTTATAACAAAAAAGCTTAGTTTGAAAAAATTTTATTTTTATCATTGGTGGAATCCTATAATCCCCTACGGAACTTAGATTTTTCTTCTGTTTTCAAGCACAATGTAAAGTGTTTCCATGGGCAATTTAGGAAAAGAGCCAAGTGTTTTATCAATCTTTGGGACACAAAAATTTTATTTTTCTAGAATATTTTTTCATATTCAATGTTGTCAGGGATTTAAAATTTGATTACAAGTTTTTCAAAAGACTGCTAATTCCATAAAAAATTATCTTTTGAAATGGCTTAATCTGTTTTCTTCAGGAAATTTCTAGACTTTATCTGGACCTCACACCATATTCTGTCCCTTTAACATACAGGCTTTGCTAAAATTATTGATATTAGAACCTCAATAATTCTTTAGCTGATTGAAAAAATTAATTTTCCCTCTCTGTTTCTGTTTTCTATCCTTTATCCCTCATGACATTACTTACTAATCCTTAAAAAAAAAAATCTAAACCTTGACAAATATTTACTATATACCTGCAATGTGCTAAGTTCTTTCCCCTGTTGAGATGATTGGTTACAATTTCAGATGAGATTCAGAGAAGTTACGACAAGAAAATAGATGAACTAGGGCTTGGTTATAACTAGGGCTTGGTCTACATTCTTTCTACCATACACCAGCTGTTTTAACTATTTTTAAAGAAATGGACTGCAATGAAGTACTTCTGTGCATATATTCTGTGTTGGTTCAAGAAGTGGGGCATATATAACAAGAAATCTTAGCCTTTGAGAATTTTAGGCATATTCTGAACAAAAATATACAAAAATATGATTAAAGTAAAAACACGGAGAACATAGAATACTAATTTTTGAGAGGTCAGGAGGAACCAATCACTTAGTTTTGCATTTCGAAGGTGAATATAGGTCATGTAACTGCAGAAACAGATAACTTAAGAATGCTTTAATTTTCCACTCAGTAGAGGGCAGTAGTGTATATAAAATGAGAGCTAACCAAACAGAGATAGTGCAAAATAAACCAAATTTTAATCAAAGGCACGTCCTCAAAATGATTACTCTCAGTGCCTCCAGAAGTCCCTCTTTCAGTGTGGTTAAACCGATTTGAAATGAAGAACAAACGTTAATTTTTAGTTCATTGAGATAACTGCTGATAATTAGGTAGAATCTGCTTTAGATTCATATTTCCCATGAGGATGCATTTCTTTGATATAACTGCCCTCCTATGACTATGGCTTCTTGCTAAAATTTTCTTTTGTCACTAATGTTCCACAACGATTAAGAATGTGTCCATTTTTGCAAGGGTTGTAAATTTCCCACAGATTTGGACTAGGAATGAAATCAAAGTGTAGTGTTATACACAATTCTCTCTCCATAATGCTTAAAAAGCATTATGTTTTCCCTGTCTTCTGGAAAGGTACACCTTACTTTGACTTATTTCCCCATATGCGGAAAAGAAAACATCTACTTCGTAATAACCTTACCATGAAATGTCAATCCTTTTGGCTTCCAAAATATACCCAGGGGGATGGATATATATATTATATATTATATATATATCTAGAGAAGCAAATATTAGATTTTTATGTAAGTGGCTGTTCCAGACAGTAATGTTTTTCCACATTCATTTTAACATTTTCCACATTAATTTTCCAGTTAATTGATTTAGAAGACTTTCGAGGGTTCTCTCTAGCCATCATGCTGCTAAGGTCTCATTTGAGGGACTTCTAAAGACTCCTTTGGTTATCCCAGTTCTGGGGCTGGGCACCAGATGCAACATGCTAACAGAAGTGCTTCAGGAAGAAACAAAATTTCATATGGCACCCAGGTGCTTGCAGCTTTTGGATAAGCCCCTGGAGGACCCACCTGGAAGTCGGCAGTTACAGACCCCCCACAGACATCAATTAACTCAGTCATGTCATAATAGGCATCAAAGGTCCAGACGCAGCTCTTCAGGTTCAGGTGTTTGTAGAGCTGGATGGTCTTGGGCTCCCGGACGCTGGGGTCAAATTGGAAGGGGCGGTCATAGCCAGGCCCCAGGGCTGTGCTGTCATAGACCTTATCGTCCAGGAACCCTGCCTCTGTGGGGGAGGGAGGAACAAAGAACAAGAAGTCAGTCTGTTGACATGCCCCTCGTTGGCTGCCCAGGAGCTGGGTGGGGAGAAGGGATGTGTCCTTGAGAGACTGAGATAGCTTACGTTCCATCAGAGACCATTAATGGAGCAACCCAGGGTTCCCAATACACACTGCATGAGAAGGGGAGGGGAGCTAGAGTACCTGTTGCTGGGGGGTTACCTGTGACTGAGTTCACAGACTCCTCTAAGAGGCTGCATGAACCCCAGAAGAAAAGATGAGCAAAGGGTACCATAAATGGAGCCAGAGCTCAGTGGCCCTGTGTGTCTTGGAAAAGAATACATACTGAAGCTTTGCAATCAACCCTTGAAGAAACAGATTTACTACACGGATGACTTGTTGATGAATTGTTATTTTTTAAGACTGATTTTTTAAAAATAGCTTTTATGTAAAGCCAACAGACAAACATCTGACTACCTCCTCCCCTGCTATGGTTTCTGAACTCTTAGGAAAAAAAAATCTTAATTTTGTGCTAATGAGTAAATAGCTCGCTAATGATGCTTGACTAAACCTCCCTGCTACGGGCAAAAATTATTGGATCAAATGCTGCCAAGCAACCAAAGTGTTCTAAATTAAGGAAGACCTTTATGCAGTAGAGAGCTAAACACAGATACAATTTTAGAATATCAAGATTCAAATTTTTTATAGTACTAAAAGCAAATATAATATTCTGAAAGAGTCTTAGAACGTCTGAAACGTCTTAGGATGTTTGACACCAGCACCTGGTCCTCTGCCCTGAAAGGAGTAGGATCTCAATTATCATGTGTTGAATTTAATTGTGTTTAAGTGGGAAGAGGTACAAACTTTCAGCCTATAAACAGTGTATGTTTCTTTCAGTGGCTGCACAGGTGAACCGGTTAGACTTTCATGTGTAGCTCAGTGACTTGCGGATAATTCATACTCAACTAATTTCTACCGTGTAAAGACCATCACTACCTAAAGTGATGCTTAATGAATATGAAAGAGCGTATGAATGCTTCTCTATCTTCTAAAATACTGGTAAATGGTTCATCGGTTGTCAAGGGAGGAAACATGCATTTAATGCGCACTTGCTAAGGTAAATGGAAATGGACAGGATCCTTTGTAGAGTAAAATGTCTGCTACGGTAGACACCGGAATGTGCCACCCGGGCTGTCAGCTCCTTCAGGTTTGCGTCAGTGGGACAGTGGCTCCTGTGGCCACCCCTGTGGGGGCTCTGGCATCCAGTGACTGAGGTGCCTCAGAGAGGGCTGTCAGCTGGGGCTGGAAGTAGGAAGAGTTCCTGAAGCGGTGGGGGCTTCTGGAGGGCTGCACTGCAGTCTGACTTCTCCCTCTGCCCAATTCTGCGTCCTCTCCTTCCTCGTCACAGATGCTGATCCCCAATGAACATCTTGCACCCCCACATTCCATCTCAGCTCCTGCTCCGGGAGCCCATCCTATAACATGTGACATCTGCACGTTAGCTTTCTAAAGATGCTGCAATAAGGGGATTTCAGGGCACAGATCCAAACATGCTCAACAGTGGGGCAGGGAAAGAATGAACATTTACCATGGCAGGTGCTTTAAAAACCATCAACAGATTATTAAATCCTTACCCTGATTGGTAGCAATTGTTTTCCTCATGTCATAGATAAGCAAACAGTGGTTTGGGGAAGTTCTGCTATTTCTGTTTAGTTGTATAGGTAGTAGAATTAGGGATTCGAACCTAAATCAGCTTGGTTCCAAAGTCCTTGTTTTTCCCTATTCACTTCACTGTCTGAGCTGCCTATGTTTGGTTGCCTGCTAGGAAGGAAATCCACTAAACATGCAGACTTTGAGGACTGGGAGACACGAAAGCAGAGTTCGCCTCGCTCTATCCCTAAGGGCCACTGTGCTGGGCTGGAATGGGAAAGCCCCCACCTGAGATGCCTCTCAGGTCACGGGTGGTGACGAGATTGGAGCAGACGTGCTGGTGTCTGTAGATGGACTCAGATAATAGAAAGTGCAAGTTGTGCAGCGGCATGGTGGAGATAAGGGGCAGCATTCCATCCTGGTGCGGGATCTGCACGGAAATGTGGATTCTAAGGGAAAAAAGGGCGGAGGTAGTGTTTAGGTGCATGCTATAAGCAGTTAATATGGTACATTTCTTTCTCATAACTCAATCTGTCTTCACCAGTGAATTTACCCTTTTTTTTCTTGAAGCTTTCTGTGTAGGAACACGAGGCTATGATATATGTGTGGGGTTGTTCTCCACCCGCGCCCCAGCCCCCCCATCAAGAAATCCTCCAGACTCAGGACTGATAGCAATCAAGAATCACAGGTGTTTTTTTGTTTTGTTTTGTTTTTTATATATACAAGAAAAGATAATATCACAACCACAAATGACTTTAAAGCTTCCTTTTGCTTTAAATGGAAGCTTTGGGGGCGCCTGGGTGGCTCGGTCGGTTAAGCCTCCGACTTCGGCTCAGGTCATGATCTCACGGTCTGTGAGTTCGAGCCCCGCGTCGGGCTCTGTGCTGACCGCTCAGAGCCTGGAGCCCATTTCAGATTCTGTGTCTCCCTCTCTCTGACACTCCCCCGTTCATGCTCTGTCTCTCTCTGTCTCAAAAATAAATAAAACATTAAAAAAATAAAAAAAAAATAAATGGAAGCTTTGTTTCCTTGTGTGCTACAGCAGAATGACTGACAGAGGTGCTGTTCCCCTGCTCTGTCACAGTGAGTGTCTGGGACACTTATATTTTTTAAAGTATTTGTGCCAAAAGCCTCACTGAGCTCTTTATACTCTAAGGTAGATATCCCTACCCAGGAAAATATCTTAGAAATAGTTATACCCCGCTACTGCTACTGTCCCCCCCCCCCCCCCCCCCCAGCCAAAAGAGACTTTTCTTCCCTCTCTCCCTTCAAGTTCCAGCAACAAGGGCGGCCCTAACTGGCCTCTGTTTGTAGTGTGCTCTCCCCTCATCTACATTTTTCCTTTTTTGAAGTTTATTTATTTACTTTGAGAGAGGGGCAGACAGAGAGGGGAAGAGGTTGAATCCCAGGCAGGCTCCACACTGTCAGTGCAAAGAGCCTGATGTGGGGCTTGAAGTCACAAGCCATGAGATCATGACCTGAGCTGTTAACTGACTGAGGCACCCAGGCACCCCTCCCCTCATCACTTCTCAGCACATAGGTGCCTTTGCACCAGCAAGTCTGTAACTTATTCATATTGGCTGCTATGTCTTGTATGCTTTCGGACTCTGTTTATCTTGCCTCCCCACAGTGAGGACAAGGATCATTTCCTTCACGTCTTTTGTTTCTCCAGAGCACGTAGTATAAAATCCTAACTAAAACACAAGCTTAATAAATATTGGTTAAGACTGTGAAAGAACAGAACTGTAGTTATGGGCTGCGTTATTTTCATTGTACAAGTTTAAATTTTCAGCATGTTGATTGAGGGTGCCTTTGACTTTTTACAGCTTGTCTCTTGGAACAAAAACCCAAGAGACATTTTTAAGAGGAATCGCTACCTTGCAATATGAACATGATGTCTCTTTTGCTGGGAAGGGGTCAGTAGTGCCCTGGGCACTCCTGCTACTGCTTTTCAACAAAAGTAAATCTTATTCGGTTGGAAAAAAAGAAAGAATTTGCATATTCTTGGCTCCATATTTAAATCTGTTTTTTTCTCCATGCAAATGAACCCCTTTCTCTGAACTTAGTTGCTCATAAAGGCACATACATAAATACCACGAGGTTTAATGAATATGTATAATATGCATGAATTCTTTTTTTGCTAGGCAAAACTGAAAGTATCCATTTCCATCAAACTCATGGTAGCACAGGAAAACATAAAAGCACACGTGCCCAGTGACTTTCAGTTTACACAGTATTATTACTCTGTTCACTAGATATTTAGCAAGCGTCTCTTAGGCGCCAAGAAGCACTGTCCCAGCCAGAAGGGACCAAAAAAAAAAAAAAAAAAAAAAAAAAAAAAAAGAAGGTCCGTGCCCTCTCCGTCTACTGTGGGGACAGACAGAGAATGAAGGGTGATAATGCTCTGAAAGAGGTATGGGTGGCATGGGTGCCAGCGGAGCTCTAAGGGGGAGCTTCCAAATTAAATTGGGGAAGATGATGGTTCTTGCAAAGGATGTCATCAGGTAGGTGGAGGAGGACGGTAGGATTTAACTACATTGAGTGGAAGGGGGCTGGGAGAATTGCTGGTTGGAAGCCCTGGCAATTTGGTTTCAGTTTGGTTCTCTGTGGGTGGACTGGCAGGTGAGGATGACAAGGTGAGGGACATGAGGCTAAGCAGACAGGCAAGGGGCCAGTTTTCGGGAGCCTCTGAAGAATTTTTTCTGAAGCTTTTATCACCACTCTTCTTTTTTTAATATATTTTTTTAAAATGTTTTTATTCATTTTTGAGAGACAGAGAGAGAGAGAGAGGGACAGAGCCTGAAGCAGGCTCTGTGCTGACAGCAGAGAGTGCCATGTGGGGCTCAAACTCACAAACAGCGAGATCATGACCTGAGCCAAAGTTGGACACTTAACTGGCTGAGCCATCCGGGCGCCCCTCCACTATTCTTATTTTGCAGAACATCACTCATTCATCTGTCTCACCCAGAAAACACACAAAACGATAGCCCTCTCATTGTGGAAGGCACCACCTGCCTGACCTGTTCGGATGTTCCTTGTGCTTGACGTCCAAGTATTTCAAGGTTGCGATGAAGGACTGAGCCTGGAAGCCTCTGGCTGTCCCAGCTACTACTGGGGTGTGGCAGATTGCACTGTCTGTTCCAATGGTAACAATGTTGCTCCTTAAGGGGGTCCCCACATGGCCCACCTTGTCCACAGCCTTTGCCACACAGCGCACATGGAACCTCCGGCTGAAGTAAATGCTATCCAGGACCTACCGGGAAGCAAAAAGTACATCAGACATGTGTTTACTCCTTAAACAGCTCCTTCCACTGTATCTTCTGGATGATATGACATCACCAGTTTCTGGTACAGGGTTATCTGTGAAGACCACCCATTATTTGTCTATCCATCCGACTATCCACTCATCTATATATCTGTTCATTCATTTGCCACAAAACTGGTGACTTTCTCCCAGAAGCCAGTCACTAGGGACAGAGCAGTAAGTACTTGTAGCCTAAGGCAGTATGTTAAGTAGATAGATGTGGAGCTAGAGGCCAGAGATGACTGGTTACCGGTGATAGTATTGGTCTCTTTATATATTAGGTTCAGCATAAGGACCACTCAGCTGATTTTCAACCTTTCCATTAAGATTGGTTGGTCTTGAAGTCACTTTTGCTGAGGGCATGGTGTCAGGATACAGAGGAGGGATGCTTCCTTCCCAGGAATTCTTATTTTTCTTTCTTTCCTACTGCTGGTCCCTCCCCCAGCCCCACCTAATGGCCACACACATCGCAAAGGTTACAATAACCTGCAGGGTGGAAATTGAGAACTTGTCCTCTGAAACCTACTGGCCTTTGGAGGTCTTTCAACAGATTCTTTCATGTTCCCAGACACAGAGAAGCCATAAGAATGCTTAACTCAATCTCTGCAGAGGCAACGTGGGTCACCACAACTCTTTAGGTAATGTGTGCATACACACAGGGAAGTACATAACAAGAAAAGTTAATTAGTAGTTCTGTGTGCCATAGACCTCCCACAAAGCAATCATACAAACTTATAAATTCTACCCATGAAAACAATTTTCATTGAAGTCCATTAAAAATTAAAGAGGATTTTTCCATTAAAATTTTTCTAATTAGCTGCCAACGCCTTATTTATTTATTTACACATGGACTTAGTTCAGAAGGGATTTGAGGCATCTTACAAAAATGCACACAATACAATGGTATTAAATAAATAATTGAAGAAACAAAGATAAAGCAAAGGAAACTGGGGTAAAAGTATTAGTCACCAAGTCATTGCAAGAAGAAAAACTGAAACATAAAGTAAAATTATAAACTTGGTTACCTGTTAAAAATGTATATTTGGCTCAAATCAGACCAAACTGCCTTCATGGTGTTTTGAAAAGAGAATTAGATACTTAATAAAACAATAAGCTATTAAGTCTTGCCATTTAAATTTTTAAAATTTATCAGGTAGTTTAGGTTATGTTGCAAAAGAATTGATCTATTGGCCTTTTTAAAAAAATTTTTTTAACGTTTATTTATTATTATTGAGAGACAGAGTATGAGCATGGCAGGGGCAGAGAGAGGAGGAAACACAGAATCTGAAGCAGGCTCCAGGCCCTGAGCTGTCAGCACAGAGCCTGATGTGGGGCTCGAACTCACCAACTGCCGGATCATGACCTGAGCTGAAGTCGGATGTTTAACCGACGGAGCCACCCAGGCACCCTGACCTATTGGCCTTTCTGAATAAGCTATGTGAAACACAGTGGACATGAGTGACTGCTTTGTCCAGACCCCCCCATTCATCTATGCCTTTCCTCCACTTATTATCCCATGTACGTGAAGCACTTACTGAAGTGAGAAGAAACTGAGAGCTGAATAGGAAAAAATCTAGAGAAATTCAGTCTGAAAGAAAGCTCTGATCTCCAAAATTATGAAGTGCATTAATTTTAATCAAAAATTGTTGAGGGCTTACTATGTGCCAGGTACTATGCTGAGTATCTCCACTGCTTCCAGTTCTGTCTCTGGGGAGAATGACGTCACTGGAGTGAGGAGCTGTCACTGCAGTGCGCTGTTTCTTAAGGTTGGGCAAACCCTTACTCACTGTTCATTGCTCTCTGATGGTGGGTCTGGGGTCCCACCTCCTTGAGGACAGCAACTGCATAGTGAACTTCTTTACGTGTCCTCCTACAATTTTGCAAAATGCTGATCCCTCGGAAACATTCTCTCCTTTGTTTAATAATGGTGCCGTCTCTACTAGCACCATCAATGTGCTGAGCATGTTGGGCTATAAAAATGTGGTAGGACCCTTGGTCCAGGTCCTTAAGGAGTTTCTATCCTACTACTTATTGAACGATTGAAGACATGTGGAAAAAAGTAATCATTAACTGTACCTACCTAGAATCTTTGACTTACTTTACCATTTATAGATCACTTTTACAACTGATTCGTCAGTGACCTTGTCAAGTCGCTAAGTGGAAGAAGTACTATTTTGCAGATCAGGAAACGGAGACTCAGGGAGGTTAAGCAACCTCTTAACATCACATAGTTAAAAGTAGGCAGAATCAAGAATAGTAAACAGGTTGTCTGATTACTGGCTTGGTTCTCTTTCCATTATACCATATTACCTCTTCTTATATATAAGAATTAAAAGACCTGGGGGGGGGCGCCTGGGTGGCTCAGTCGGTTGAGAACCGGCTTCGGCTCAGGTCACGATCTCATGGTCCGTGAGTTCGAGCCCCGCATCAGGCTCTGTGCTGACAGCTCAGAGCCTGGAGCCTGTTTCGGATTCTGTGTTTCCCTCTCTCTCTGACCCTCCCCCATTCATGCTCTGTCTCTCTCTGTCTCAAAAATAAATAAACGTTAAAAAAAAAATAAAAAAAATAATTAAAAGACCTGGGTATATACTGTGTACCTGCTCATTCATTTATTTCATTCCAAATGCCATGCAAGGACCTTAAGGAATTTGATAAAGTTGTAGTGACAAAGAGAGACACAAGTTTTCTCCCTATGCAACAAGGCCCAGACCCCTAGACCTACCATGTGGTTGACACTGGTAAATGGTGTGTTGTCAGTGATGGTCTCAAAGGGAGAGCGAGCCCCATTGCCATCAGTGGGGGTGGCTACTTCCCAGCTGAACTGCACAGATGACTGGTTGATGCCAGCCTCGCTGCAGCGTTCCTTCATGACGGCATATTTGGGGAAATGAGAGTCACAGGGGGTGACACAAACCAGTGGGTAGCCTGGGGAGGGGGACTTCTTGACTCCTTCCTTGGTAACCTCTTCTACGTGGTCATAGTCGGCAAGTGTAACAACCTGAAAAGGAGCAACAAAGCTTCAGCCTGGGCTGGCTGTTGGGATGCTCAGAGAGCTAGGGGTCCCCTCCCTAGAGATCCACAAGATCCCTTAACCGCTAGGGATTCTTTAAAATATAACGGAAGTTTTCACAGTGCTTCGCCAGGCATCCCTAAAAGATACTACATATCAGTGGTGAAGAAGATCTTCCTTTTGCCTGAGCTAAAAATCTTTAGTATCTTGTTAATCTTATTCCTGAATCAGAGCTCTATCACTCATGTGGAAAATACTTTTATTTTCATGCACACTGTCACTAAAGCTATATCATGAGTAACAGTTACTAGTTTAAAATTGCATTAAAAAATACAATAAATTAAGTTGCATTAAATTGTTAATGATACACAGTAGTATATCTGGCAAAACAAAAGTAAATAAAGGGAGTGTATTTCTTCCATGGTTGAATAAGAGACACATTTTGGAATGATCCTTCTACTATAGAAGACTAGCTAGGGGAGGCTAGAAGACTTATTCTGACTACCTCATTATGGGTTAAGTTTCCCTTGGCAACCTCCAGGCATTTTCCTCCTAATTGTAAAGTCGTTGCGTTCATTGCATACACCCCAACATGGGAAGCCGGGTACTGCACTTTTGCAAATACTTACCTCTATGTGTGTGGCAAGTATGTAGGGTAATAGATACGGGGTAGCATTATTTTTTTTCTCCACTCTTCTAGGTCCCACCAAAGACATGAGAAGATCAATTGTATTGCACTTTCTGTGTTTATCACACTAGGGTATCAACATGGTTTGGTCTCACTCTTCTGTCAGAACAGGGTTTCTCATCCTTGGCACTACTGACATTTATGCCAAATACTTCTTTGTTGTTGGGGCTGTCCTGTGCATTGCAGGATGTACAGCAGCATTCCTAGCTCCTACCCATTAGATGCGAATAGCGCCTAGTGTGACATCCATTGACAGTTGTGGCAACCAAAAGCGTCATCAGACATTGCCAAATGTCCCGTGGAGGTGGTGGTGCAGGGAAGGGGTTTGGGAAGGAAGGAACAAGACAGCTCCTGGTTGAGAACTACTGTGTTAGAAAAATGAAGAAGTATAGCACCAGAAGTCCTACTTCTGCCAAGTTCTCAGCTACTAGTCACTAGGACATACAAGTAGTGATCCCTTTAGGTCAAGCAACTCACAATGGGTGGCGCTGGCAATATGAGACTCCCTGCTGCTTCCTGGTCTAGAATTGTCACTGTGGCAGTGGTCACATCACCAAGAACTGCTTCCACTGGGTCATCTGGGCCAAGGACTAGGGAGAAAGATTCATGCCATTCCCGGTCTTCATTGGACAGGATCTCGACTTTGAAAAAGATATGATCCACACCTTCACCAAGCACAGAACAAAAAGAGAGCAAAGGTTCTCATTAGGTGACCTCACTAAGACAGTGCAGGTTGGCACTGCTGAGACTTCCTGTTAAGCAACGCCCTTTCCTTTTAGAGGTTTTCTATATATACAGTGGCTGCTAATCACTTTATTCCCATCTCAAGTGAGAAATCTATTTTATAGACCAAATTCCACCTGTGGTAGAGGCTCAGTATTGCAGATTTACTATTCAATGCCATATGAGAATTAATGGCCCCTGTCTGACACTAGCTGGTAGTAATAAAAATCTATGATCCAAAATACACTCCACCCTGGTTATGAGGATTTTTTGCTTAATTTTTCTTTCCCCTTTACACTTAGGCACGGGATCCTGTGTGGCAGTGAGGGCTTGCACGCAAGACATCCTTCAAAGCTGTCCTGAGAAGCAGTACCTCAAAGGCTTCCTACTAGGCCATATCTGCAAAGACGATAACATAAAGGTTTGGCAGCCTGGAACGAGGAGGGTGAGAGCCTTAGAAACTCCCTTCCTTTCCTATAAACTGATTCTCTGAGGGTGCAAATCTCCCTGGTTGTAGTTAAGGCTCCCTTCTTCCTCTCCTATAAACTCCTGGGTTAGGTTGTTCCCAAGACCTATCTTTCTACCAGATCCTTATGCAGAAAAGGAAAAAATAAAGACACATGGAAGAATAGTCCTTGTATGGAGGTGGAGGAAGGGCATCTACGTTTCCAGCAAACACTAACCAGATGTACATGGGATAAAGCGAAAAGCCCTTAAAAAACTCCAGTGGAATGAGACACATCAGAGACTCCTCCCCCTTCATTTCTGAGGGAGTCACTTCTTCCCCCCACTGGCCAAGACATCTCTGAAAAGGACGTCTACCACTGTTGCCCACTTCTGGCTACATTGCAAATGGCTCTAGGATCTGCACCAGTCTTTTTACCTTATGTTGCTCCAGAAAGTTCTGTGACAAAATCTAGCATATAATTCAACTCCTTCTCCATCTCCAACTATATCAGATAGTTAAACAGCCAGCTGTGACCTGAATCCCATCTCTCTCTCTTCCCTGACTCATTTCCATAGTTCTCTCTATACAATAAAACTTTTTTAGAAATCTCATAACAGGGTATCCTGTCTCTTAGCAGATGTTAAACCACTGGAGCACAGAGACTGTGCCTTCTGGATTTTAGTAATCTCTGAAGGTCCCAGCACACTGGTTTGTATCAATATTTGTTGGATCATGGTAGTCATGTTTATTCTTTTAAAATCAACTGCAGCTGTTACTCAACCAAATCATAGGCTAACAATAACAACAAAATCCTTTTAAATGAGCCAAAATGCCAAGGATGTTCTGAAGTAAGGGATCTCCTTTTTTCTTTTTCAGAAAAATGCCATTTTTTAAAAAAGATTCCTATAATATCAAATGTGTGCTTAATAAATACTTCATGATTAATCAGCACTACTGTTTTCCTCTTTTATTTTTCTGCTCATCCCTTTCTTCAAATACAAGATATTTGCCTCTCTATTATGTAAAACTCACAGACTGGGATTGGCATTCAATTACCGGGACTGAACTTCAAGACTCGACTCTTGGGGTAATAATCCACCCCAGACTGGGCAGACCCATCGCGTGTGCTACAGCGGATCTTGGATGTCCTGTTCTGATCCCCTCTTCGGATCACCTTGATGTTCAGGACGGCTATGGCATCTGGCCCTGAGGGTTCACGGACTTGATATGCAGCTTCTTCAAACTCAATGGTAGGGGCTAAGGAAACAGGATTAAGAAAAACAAGAGCCAGTTAGAAAAGCACAAAGGATTCCCACCCCCATGAAAACATCTTATAAAGACAAGAGGGAGTTTTCCACATTAGTAAATAGTACAAAGGCACAATGGCTTACAGTCATAAAAATCAATCAGTTTTTACTTCTCAGCAAAGGTTTGGTAAAGGAATTTATTTGTGATTCTGCAGGACTTCTCACAGGTTTCTTATTAAAAACAGTATAGTGGGGGAAATATTTTTAAGCACTTTGAAATGCATCATGTCCAAGTTTCCATCTGGGTATCACAACTCACAAAATGTTTTTAAATTCACACACTTTATCAAGGGACTGAGAGAGAGTAAACCCTTGGTAAATACCAACCAATGGCATTAATCAACTCTTTTTCATTTATGAGATATGAATTTCTAAGTTTTATAATTTATCTCATTTATACACAACCTAAACTTCCCAAGTCCATCTCCCATCTCTGATCTTCTGGGTCTTTCCTCCCAGGGCCCTTATGTCTCTCACCCTTAACTTTTCCTAACTTCTCCTAGGTTATTTAGTTAAGAAAGAGTAGTTTTAATGAAGAACCCAAGACTTCCTGACACTCTGGTTTGAGGTGCAATTCTCATTGCTATGAAATGATTAATATGTTGGTTTTAAAAAAAATTTCAAATTGTGCCTTCTTTTCCATTATACTCTTAAGGGGAAGGGTGAGGTGGTAGTGGTGGATATAGTGAGATAAAAAATGGGATAATTGAGAACAATTACAAATTTTATACCATTTCTAATATGCTATAATATTTTGGAAAAATTTCTAGAGTCTCTGTTCTTTCCCTTCTTTCTCTCTCAGAAAGTTAATTCTTCTTAATTGTAGAAAATAAGCTTCATTTGAAACTTTGTAGTTTTAATAAATGCCCTTTGAAACTTAGGAGTGTTACTTATTACCTCTTGAGACTCAATAACTAGGTTTCTGTGTGACCAGGAGAGGCTCACTTCAGGATCTGAATCCGGGTCTTGCTGGGTGAAGGACCAATTCAACTTCAAACCTGGCTTTTCTTATTTTACCCAATGTCCAAGTTAGTCCCCAATTTTATATCAGAAACCCTGAGAGTCTCACTGACTCTCATGTAGATTCTAGAATCTGACAAAATAAGGTTTACAACCAGTTTTGCTGCTTATAGCTGTGTAACTAAGAGCATAAATTATATAAATTTGCTGATATTCAATTCCTTCACTTATAATAGAGGGATAATAACATCTACCTTACTGTCAGGATAAAATGAAATAAGATAAAATAATATGCTTAGCATGGTTTTTGATATGCAGTAAATATTCAATAAAAACAGCTATTACTATTTGTAATATTATTATACATTCACTCATTAAAATATCTATTTGAATAAAACAATTATGTCCCAATTTGAAACAGATTTCGTTTTGTTTTCCCTAGTGCCTGGGTCATTCTTGGCTGACACCTGACTAAAGAATTTAAGATTTTTTAGGTTAATAGGCCAAATCAATTAGAAGAAAGCTGAGAAATTAGATTTTTTCTGAGAAGGTGGCAGCATTTAAATTAGTTCATTGGATTCAACTGATTCTGACTGTATATCCAATCTTGCTCCTGAACTGCAACGACTTAAATAGTTTTTATTCTCTGTCTGCCGTAGCATCTCTGTGCTAGCTTGTAACCACACTCATCTCTTATCTCTTGGCAATGTGGTAGGAAATAATGAGATTAAAAATACCTATAAACTTAGTGGAACTCTGTAGAGGATGATCACTTGGTGCCAACAGTGTATATAAACACTCTGAAATTGTTATCAGTAGGCACTTTTATAGCACTTTCATTTTCAAAAAACACCTATAATTACATTATTAGTAAAACATCAGTTCATGTTCTATCAACCAAAGAATAAGTAAAGATGATATCTTCTATTACCATCTTCATCATTGGATATGGTGATGGTGGCCATGTTATTCTTCCCAACTCTGGCTCCACTCCAGTGGTTTCCAAGAGGGTGGCTGAGATAAACCCTGAATTGTTCCTCAGGCTCAAACATGGAGTCATCATGGATAGAGACGGTACAGTTCTTCATCTAGAGCCAATGTCATAAGATAGATTAAAATTTGCAGTAAAAAATCAGTAGCTTGCTTGGTTTTCCTAGAAAATGATTTTTCTCCTTTGCAGCATCAAAGAGCCAACACAAATTCAAAAGGATCCAAACCATTTCATTTGTAAAATAGAATGTTTAATAGTTCGTGCCTGACTGGGACATACCTACATGTGGAGCTTTATATTAAAACATTCCAAACTACTCTGAATGATCAGTCATGAGTTATGAAAAACAAGATCAATAAAACAACCCACTCCAATGCACCTGAAGGAAATTTGTGCAGAGCAAACCAATGAGTATGTATGTACGTGTTATGAAAGGTATATTTCTGATAATGGGGGTTTACCATATGTATTAGGCTTCCTGGAGAGCAAAACAATGGTCCTTTCCCTTGGCAAAAACAGAACAGTTTTTTATTTTACTTTTTTTAATGTTTATATTTATTTTTGAGACAGAGAGAGACAGAGCATGAGTGGGGGAGGGGCACAGAGAGAGGGAGACACAGAATCTGAAGCAGGCTCCAGGCTCTGTCCAAGCTGTCAGCACAGAGCCCAATGTGGGGCTTGAAGTCATCAACGGTGAGATCATGACTTGAGCCGAAGTCGGACGCTCAACCAACTAAGCCACCCAGGCGTCCCCGGAATAGTTTTATAAGGAACTCAGAAAGGCTTCTTGTTAGGTTGAAGATACCTTTCAATGCTGCAGAACTCTCAAATGGGTTGCCAAATGGTATCTCATCTGAAAACTGTTTAGTTCTGAAAGTCTGAGAATACAATCTAAATCCCTGCACTGTTGGTAGGAATGCAAACTGGTGCATCTGCTCTGGAAAATAGTGTGGCGGTTCATCAAAAAATTAAAAATAGAACTATCCTATGACCCAGCAATAGCACTGCTAGGAATTTACCCAAGGGATACAGGAGTGCTGATGCATAGGGGCACATGTACCCCAATGTTTATAGCAGCACTTTCAACAATAGCCAAATTATGGAAAGAGCCTAAATTTCCATCAACTGATGAATGGATAAAGAAGATGTGGTTTATATATACAATGGAATACTACTTGGGAATGAGAAAGAATCAAATCTGGCCATTTGCAGCAATGTGGATGGAACTGGAGGGTATTATGCTGACTGATATAAATCAGGCAGAGAAAGACAGATACCATATGTTTTCACTCTTGTGTGGATCCTGAGAAACGTAACAGAAGACTATGGGGGAGAGGAAGGTGGGGGGAAGTTACAGAGAGGGAGGGAGGCAAACCATAAGAGACTCTTAAATACTGAGAACAAACTGAAGGTTTATGAGGGGTGGGAGGGAGAGGGGAAAGTGGGTGATGGACACTGAGGAGGGCAACTGTTGGGATGAGCACTGGGTGTTGTATGGAAACAAATTGGACAATAAATTATATTTAATTTAAAAAAAAAGAAAAAAACCCTTGTTTGACAGAAAGAAATCAAGTGTTTCCCACACTGAATATACTCTATTGAGGAATGTATTCTTAAGAAAACAGAAAATAATGCCAAAACATTTTAGATGAAGCAGTAGCTTCAATAGTAGAGTCATGTGATATGAAGTGGGATTACTTTTACTTGAACTATATTAAATCCACTCCACTGCTGTATTGCAAAGGATCTGTGGGTAAAAAGAAGTTTCACTCTCATACTTCTGAGGTCACACTAAATGGAAGAACATCCTGTGAACATTTATAGGTAGCTTGCTAAACTGATGTTAAGCCCCTGAAGAAGTTCCTTTTCTTCTTGATAGAAAGCATACATTTAGTAGTGACTCTTTAGGATCTTTTTAAAAAGGGCATTATCATGAAGGACAAGTTTCAGAGACAAATTGCTTAGCAAGCCAGAGAAAATGAAGATTCCAAAGTGTGCTTATGAATAATGATAGATTGTCATGTGGGTAACATATAGATGATTAGACCGTATTTTCTTAATAATTTTATTAAATTATAAACTGTCTCTTGGATAGGCAGAGAATTCTCTTTTGAACTTAAAACAAATACAGACATGTAGACTCAAAGCTGAAGATTGTATCTGCAGTATTTGTGTGTGTGTTTAAACACATGTTTCAACCTGCCACCAGTAAAATCCCCCCACCCCCCAAATATAACTAAGACAGGTTTCTATGAGTCATGAATCTATAAAAGCCCAAGAGTCTCAGAGAAGGAAGATATCATTTTTTTTGTTTTTTGTTTTTTTGGTAGTAAAGATGAACAGAGGAAGAATCTGCAGTGACTTGGGATGGGTAAGATCATGTAATACTAAACTTCAAAAAGACTAATCATAAGGCAAAAATTTGGTATGTTTGACTATACCAAAATTGAAGACTTATGTTCAACTAAGAACACTGTGATCAAAGGTAATAGATAAGTGACAGAATGGAAAAATATGTTTACAATATTTAAAATGTCTACAACTGGCAAGGAATTAATGTTTATAATATATAACAAAGACTGCAAATCAGTAAGAAAAAGACAGCAATACAATAGTAAGGAACAAAGCACAAACATATTTACATAAGAGGAAACCCAAGAAGCTACCAAGCATATAAATTGGTAGTAACTGGAGGAATGCAAATTAAAATGACACTTAACTTTATACATGTTAGATTAGCAAAAAGTTAAAAAGATGAGTAATGCTAGGTGTTGGAGAGGTTGTAGGATTACAGCAACCTTCATGCTACTGATAGTGACTTTCTGGAAGGTATCCTGACCCTATTTTTTCAAATTAAGCACATACATGGCCTATGGCCCAGCAATTTTGCTGCTGAGTGTATATCCAAAGGAATTGCTACTCAGGGCTATAAGTGGACATGTATGAGGATATGCATTGCAGCATTATTTGTGGTAGCTGAGTGTTAGGAGGTGGCTGGGTGCTATCTGTGAGGTTCTTCACAGTCTATTGTTGAGAAGGGATGGTTAAAATGTACTAAATGCACATTATGAAATATTATTCACTAGCTCAGCAACAGGTCAGATGTGTACATAAGTGATGTGGACATATATTAAAACATATTTCTGAGTAAACACAGTAAAAGTTTGAAAAGGATACAACATAGTAGCAGTTTTATAAATTAAAAATTATGCATATAAAATAAGAATTTTTAAAGAACAAATATAAATTAAGAGGTACACATTAAACACAACAGATTGATGAGTTCTGAGGTGGAGAATGGAATGTGGCTGGAGAATAGGCATAAAATAAATAAACAAAATAAGAGATGGGCCTTGAAATGACTAATGAGAGGGAACAAATGACTCAATCATTTGAAATTGATATCCAAAAATGGGGAAATGTGATTCTCATTCAATATACACTTTGACATATACTGAGGTTGCAGGCTTTGATTCTTTTTTTTTTTTAAGTTTATTTTATTTATTTTGGGAGAGACAGAGACAGAGACAGTGAGCACAAGTGGGGGAGAGTAGAGAGAGAAGGAAAGAGAGAATCCCAAGCAGGCTGTCAGCATAGAGCCCACCCACTGAGCCATCCAGGCTCCCCTGATTCTAATGCAGCCATATTTACTGACGGGAGTTTCTCAGGAGTTTCTATGCCCATGTGCATATACATTGCTAAGAAAAGAACACTCCACTGCCTTGAATATGCTCAATGTCTGCTTATTTGGTCCTATACTATTGGTTCTATACCAGAATGTATGTTGCCCTGAGACAGGGGCCCAGGTATTAAAGAACTGTCTCTTCCTCCTCTAGATAACATTGGTGGTGTGTTCATCTCATGTAGTTGCAAATTCCAAGGGACCTCATTCATTTGATTTTGCCAAATTCCAAAACAGTTATATATCATTTAAATTCCTAGTTCAACCAATGATATATGTATTTATTTGGTTGTAAGTAGGATACAAAGAAGACAGCCACACAGGACAGATGATAGTATTACAAAAGGTATCAACTAGTAGAAGAATTCATAGGATGATCAGAATTTGTCAAACTGACTTCATTATGGACAAATAAAGGCATCAAGGAAAAAGAGAATCTGATCTTTCAGCTATCATGAATCCACTTACTTTCTCCCCTTTCAGAAATGTAATCCGTGAAGAGTCTGCATTTCTTCTCTCCTCAAAGTCCTCCATGACCTGAGCAGAATGGCTCTGGGTATAGCACCTCACTGAGGACTCATAACTCAGGTCTCCACTCCGAATGATGGGCACCTGCAGGACACCCTCCTTCTCCTTCACCAGGAGCAAATCCTTGGCAAACTGCATGCTGGGTACTGGGGGAGCAGAAGGAAAGATGGAAGCATCATTAGTAGGAGGCAAAGGGAAGGTGGCCATAGCTCTCAGCAGCCCTCAGTATCCCTCAGCAGCCACTTGGCAGGAAAGGTCTATGAACGGCCATCACAGGCTGGCAAATCAGAGACGGTAAGCCAATTTCAAGGCATGGTTGCTCTCAAGACAAGGGAACTGCTTCCACTGTTGAGTGTGCTTCCAATGAAATAGAATCAGTCAATTCTGCATCTGTTTTCTCTCAGATGCAGGGTGCAGCCCCCATCTCAAATGCAGATGAGTAATGCAAGTAAAGAAATGAGCCAGGTATAAGAAAACTTTTGGATTGAGACTTGAGTATGCAAAAGGTTTGTTTTCCTTCTGAGGCTACAAAAAGGAAAGGAGCAGTGCAAGCCTCATGATAAATGGCCACTCACATCCGTCCTGGGACAGGGAAACAGTAGGGAAGAGTGGGGACATTGGTAAAGAGGAAAGTTCAGGCCTTTTTAAAGGGGGTCACCCCTCAGCTCCAGTCTTTTGTTGGCAGATATCTTATTTTCAGATGAAGCCAGAAATCTGGATTTGTATGTTGTATCTCCTAAACTTTTTAAAAAAAGCAATCAGTTACAATAGTAAAAAGAAATTCCATATAGGCCAACCTCTTTGGACCAAACAAAAGACATCCACATGCTGAATTTGGCCAGTGGGGCCCCAGTCTGTGATTACTGCTATAAAATCACCTTTTCTTTTATAGCTTACTTTTATGGTCTCATTTGACTTAGGAAAGGACCAGGGCGAAATTGTGGTTAGAAACATGGGCTCTACAGTAAACAGGCCTGAATTTCCACCCCAGTCCTGCTACCTATTAGCTGTACGATATAGAGTAATTTACTTAGATTTTATGAGTTTTTTTTAATATATATAAATTGGAAATATTACTATCCAAATTATAGAATTGTTGGAAGGACCAAATTTAATGAAATAATGTATGCATGGTGCTCAACAGAGTATCTGGCGCATCACAGGCATTCACATTTGGTAGGAATTATTATATTATGATTTGTATTGCCCCCAACTCCAAGTTTCTCAATAAGAAGAACCATTTTTTTCTCTCCTTACTTTCTACAATGGCTACAATAATGCTCCACGTTAAGACATGTCCTGTTCTGAGACTCACATCTTGTTGATTGCTGGCTATTTATTTCTTAATGAACAATACAGAGAGGTAGTCCCTCCAGTCACATGTCAGAGTCACCTGTGGCAGAAGCTGACCCTAAAACTGTAGACTGCTATTTCCTTGCTGTGTCTTGCATATGCCTTGCCACACCTGAAAGGAAGGAACCGAGAGGTGAGGACCCAGCATTCTGCAAGTCAATATGTAAAGAGCTCTGTTTGCCTCTAACTTGCCCACTGCTCAGAACTGTTGGCACTAGCAAAAACAAAGCAAACTCCTTACTTAAGCTAAACCTAACAGCTGCCACTTACTACCAAAGAAAAACCCAGAAGATACTTCTTAAAAGAACAGTTCACCTAACGGAAAAGTAACAACTTTGGCATTAGGACCCAAATATTAACCATTTAGGGTTCTGTCATCCAATAAAATAGTCTGTGCTGTTAAAAGGTGAGTGGCAAAGATGACCTAGCATAGAAGGACAAGAAGGAAACTTGTTGGCAGGTAAAAAGCAACAGAAGCAGGAAAGCTTTTCTGCCCATGACAGATTATCTAAAGCTTTGGATTGATTTTTTTTGCAGGCCCAAAAGGCATCAAGCCAGATGAGAGTTCAGTCTCTCATGGTAATGTTTGGGTTTTGTCATGTATTCATTAACCCAAAATTCTTCTTGAGCTGTAAAAGACTCCTTTTTTTTCCTCCTTAACAAGATATTAAACTGAATTCACTCCTTCCCCTATCTGGAAAAAGGAGAGAGAGAGAGAAAGAGAAGGGAAGTAGGTGAATATTTCTCACAATCACCAGCCTGCCAGGAATGGTCTCTGCCTTTATGGGAGCCCCTAGTCTGGTTGGAGACTGAGGCAAGAGACAATGGAAAGACAATAAGGTGGGCTGGGCAATAGATTTGTTTACACGGGTTATGGCATACAAAGGAAAGGCCCAGCCCAAGTCAGGCACTATGTTAAGGGCTTCCATACATGTGGAATCTTCTTAACACCCCAACTATAAGCAGCAACACTGTTCTCAGGAAGTAGGAGCACTATTCTCATTTATGCCTGAATGCAGATTCCTTCTCCTTCCACACCATAAAATGGTGATCCATGAAATGGTGATTCCTCGTGGAGGTTCACAGGCTTGCACTAGGTATAGTGCATTTACTGTCAGCACATGCATCGTACACAGCCTAGTCTGTAGTTATCTCATTACTGGTGTTACAGTCTTGTGTCCTGAAATAAACTGTGGGACTCTGCTCCCTGCTCTGCTGTAATCCATACAGTGCTGGGCACCAGTCTTAGACTGCAAAATATGTGCTAAATGCTATTATTCAATAATCTTCTTAGTAACTCACAAAGTAGGTACAAATGTCACATCCTGAAATTTGAGGGCCTCTTTATGGGCAATGCTTAGATTGGAGATTTAGGAGAAATCCTGCTTCCTATTCTCTTGAGTTAGAGTAGGTAGGATATTGTGCATACATAGGGGTGTGATAAGATTGCAGCTACGAGGCCTTTCATGTCTTGTTCAGCATTCCTCTGGTCCATACTAAAGTCTAACTCCAGGTGCCAGAGCAGAAGAAGAAAGTGAAAATAGGAAAATGTTCTGAGATGAGCTACTTAGATGATTTATGACCCCAAGATCACCCTGTGGAAAAAGATGAAAGACTGAAGATCACTTTGGAAGGCTGAAAGTTGACATTATAAGAATACTGAGTGACATCAAGCATCTAAAACTGCAATGTGAAAAAGTTAGCATGGTAGGGTATAAAATCAGAAGACTGGACTTGGATAGAACAGACCTAGGTTTTAACTCTGGCCCTATCACCTCCTCTCCATGTGACCCTAGGCAAATTATTCAACCTGTTTCATAAATTGAAGAGCTTATAAAGATTAGAGAGAAGGTAAGATCTTTCTACCTTAATGTGCACATGGAGGAAACAACAAAAGTTAGCAATTCCTAGGAAGAAGGATAGCCAATAGATATAACCACTGAACACTACAATGGGTTACTGAAATAGCTTTGGGGATTTCTTTTTCTGGGATAAATTCTTGACTAAATATAGTTTGTTGTAGCCTGCCTGAAAGATGAGAAATATTTTAACATAAGCATTTTCTAAGTTTGCAACCCTAATGTTCATCAATAAAGCATGAAGAAAAATCCAAATGGAAATGTTTTCTGTTGATCTAGGGCAATGAGTCTTGTATGTGTTACTGGAGTCCCACTGGCAAGTATGATAAATTACAGATGTGTCAGGAAGAAAAGAAATTAACATGTAATAAAATCTACTATGTGCCAGGTACAATGGTAGATATTTTCACATACTTTCTAATTTAATCCTTATAATAACCTTATTAGGTAGGTATTTTCATTATTTATAGATTAACAAAATTAGGCTCAGTAACCTTATGTTGCTAATCTAAGGCCAAAAATTTAAAAAAGTGGTAGGGCTGGAATTACATTTTAGGTCTTCTGATTTTGCATTCCCTTTCCACTCCATCAGAAGGAAATTAAATACCTTTCATGTAAAAGCATTAGAAGCCTTTTCAAGAACAAAAAGGATAACTGAATGTCCTTCTTCTTTTTAGTGAATGAAGAAAAAAAACATATCCCACAGATTCTACTATTGCACCAAATAGGACTAATTCGTATAGCGCAAAAAGTATGAACTTGAAGCCAAAAACTTGGTCCCTCTTTGTATGAGATTTTGGGTGTTTACTCCCTTGATTCTAGTCTCCTTATCTATAAAATGGAAACAAGTATAAAACCATGAGATTATGAGCAAATGAGAAAACTCTAGTACATCACTCTGTAAATTCTCAGGTAACATGAAATATAAAATAGTATAATTGTTATAATCTTGTTCATAGTTATGAAGTTACTATTTTATGAATCACAACCCTAAATGTAAAACTTAAAACTAAAAAAATTCCAGAAGAAAACCCAGGAAAAAAAAATCTTTGTAACCCTGGGTCAAGCAAAGGTTTCTTAGATACAATATTAAAAGCATAATCCATAATAAAATTATTGGTCAATGGGACTATTTCAAAATGAAAAACTATTGCCTTTTGAAAGAACAAAAAACAAGCAACAGATTGGGAGAAAATATTTGCAAAACACAAATATTTGTCCAGAATTTATAAGAATGTAATAACGGGGAAAAACAACTCAATTAAAAATGAGGAAAATACTTGAATAATACTTTGCTAAAGAAGATATATAGATGGCATGTAAACACCTGAAAAGATCTCAGTGTCATTAGGGAAATGACTTTCAAAACCATGAGACACCATTATCCATCTACTAGGATAACTAAAAAGAACTCGCAGAAACCTAAAAACACCAGATGTTGGCGAGGGTGTGGAGCAACCAGAATTTTCATACACTGTTGGTGGTAATGCAAAATAGTCATAAGCATTTTGGAAAACAGGGTGGCAGTTTCTTAACATACAATCAAACAACCCCACTCCTAAGTACTTACTCCAGAGAAATAAAAATGTATAGTCACACAAAAAGCTATATGCAAACTTTTATAGTCATTCCAGTCATAACTGCCAAAACCTGGAAACAACTCAATTGTCATTCAACAGATGACTGAATAAACAGGTGACTGGATAAACAGGTGATTGGATAAATAGGTGAATGGCTGAACAAATTGTAGTACATCTATATATTTGGAAACTACTCCACAACGAAGGAAATGAACTATTTATATATGTAACAACATGGATGGTTTTCAAAGGCAATATTCCAATGAAAGAAACCAGACACAAGATGCTATATTACATGATTCCAATTATATGACATTCTGGAAATGGCAAAACTGTATAGGCGAGAAACCATCAGTGGTTGCCAGGGCTCAAGATGGGGAAGAGGTTGGCTACAAAGGGGCATGAGATAATTCTGTAGGGTATTGAAACTGTTCCACATTTTGATTGTGGTGGTGGCCACGCCACTGTGTGCATCTGTCAAAATGCATAGAACGATACACTAAAGAGGGTAAATTTTAATTTATGTGAGTTAGATCTCAACAAACCTAGGTACAAAATAAGATATAATTTTGGACATTTTCATTATATACATATTGTGTGTATTATATTTATGCATATGTTTTATAGATATTTCTCTTGAAGGTACACACAACAACAACAACAACAACAACAACAACAAAACAACAAAAAAAACTGGTTAAAATGGTTGTCTCTAAGGAGAACAACCAGAGGGTTGGGAGACAGGGGTAGAAGGTAGACTTAATTTTCATAGTATAACTTTATTGTCATTTTTTAAACTATATAAATAAATAAATTATTTAAAAATCACTGAAAGCATTAAGTATCACCCTGCTGGCTTTCTGTTCCTTTTTCGGTGACTTTTCACTCACTGAAAGAGTTTAATTATGGGCTCTATCATCAACTACGGAGATGCTAATGAGGATCCTCCTGAGTTAGGTAGAAAGTTTGACCAGATCTTCTTTTCCAACTCCGGCATCTGACAATTTTTTTTTTAATGTTTATTTATTTATTTTTGAATGAGAGAAAGAGAGAATGCACGTGCACACCAGTGGAGGAGGGGCAGAGACAGAGGGAGACACAGAATCTGAAGCAGGCTCCCGGCTCTGAGCTGTCAGCACAGAGTCCATGAGCCATGAGATCGTGATCTGAGTCGAAATCAGCCACTTAACCAACTTAGCCACCCAGATACCCCTAGCATCTGATGATTCTAAATTTCATCAATGCTTCCCAAGAAATAACTGTCCTTCCCTGGTCATTATTCTGTTACTTAGGTTAGCTCTTCAGTGGAGACTGATATTTTATTCACATACTTGTGTCTATTCATTCTTGTACATCATCCACAGGACTGCCAGTGTCAGTTTCCTCCAACAAAAACCACACCACTCCTCCACTTAGAAGCACTCCTCTCTGCTTACAAATTCCTTAGGCTGCAACATAAGACTTTTTTGAACTGGACTCCAACCTGTCTTTCCATTTCATTTCCTTCATTTCATTTCATTCATCTCCAGCCAGGCTTAAAGCAAAAGTAAGCATCTCACTGCTTTCCAAGTATCCGTCTTTCAAATTTTTATACCTTATATACACTATATCTGTCCATTTGACAAAATTTTATGTTATTACCCATTAGATAAACCCCTAATACACCCTAAGACTGTTTAAACATCATGTCCTTTGTGATATCTGTGATTCTTCTACACATATTTGCTGTTCAGTCCCCTCTGTTCCCATAGTACTGGATTTATAGCATTAGTAGGTCATTTATATAAAATATTCTAATTTTTCTGTTTAAGGGTATGATTCCCCCAACTAGACACTAAGCTTCTTGAGGACAAGGCCCAAGTCTTATACATCTTTTTGTGCCTAGCACAGTACTAGAAACATGAATGTTTATTTCTCCTCCATAATTCTATGTAAAAGAGTGTGTATACATGTGCTCACACACACACACACACACACACACACACACACACACACGATTTATTTCTTGAATGAAACGTGGATGAGTTCTAATGTCATATACTTGGAAGATAAGGAAAAATAGAAATGTAGTCTGAGCCACCACCTGGCATCTCCAATATCTTACCATCCTGGAATGTGTCATTAATTGCAATGACAGCCTGGAAGGGTTTGGTCAGTTCGGCCCCTTGTGCTGAGCTGAGAAAAACCACAAATGTCTCCAGTCCTTCAATTACTGGATACTGAGTGTCATCCAAGATAGTCAAGGTGCAATACTAGAAGAAAAATCATGATGTTAACTAGACTTACTGTGGTGATAATTTTGTAATATACACAAACACTGAATCATTATGCTGTCCACCTGAAATTAATAGGTTATATGTCAGTGCTATCTCATTTTTAAAAATAACATAAATATAAAAAGAAGAAAAATCAAAGCAAACCTTATACAATGTCCAACACACAACACCCATCTGCCTTTGGGAGAGTAGGACAAAGGTGATAACTTGCTTTCTCTGGTGGTCTTATAGTAAGCTTTTTTAATTCATAAAATTATTAAAATTAATTTTATTAAAACTCTATATTAAAAACTCTTAGGTGTTTTGTCTCTAGATATTATCACCAAACAAGTGTAGTTCCTATCCTTTATCTGTGGTGCTGGATATTAGATGCTGACAATGTCACTTGGAGAGTTTATAGAAGATCGCTCTGCATTCGCTCTCTTGTTTGCATGTTTGTGTTTGTGAATAAAGGGAAGACAGTAATATTGTAAGTGGGGTTTAGAGTCCTCCAGAGAGTTTGGACGGCAGAATAGAGACAACGTTAACAGATCCATCTGGTCCTGGACTGCTCTGTGCTCACCTGTTCAGTGACACCTGGCCCAAACTCCACCTTCCTAGAGCTGGGAACATAGTCAACTCCTGGAGTGGCAGAAGCTGGGTCTGAGGGCCGTGTTGCACACCAGACAGATGTGAAGGTAGAAAGGTCAGTCCCATGACGGATAACTGGAATTTTCACTGTACCTAGTGGAGACCCAGAGGTGTCAGTGGTCAGTCTTAGGGCAGAAGTCAGTGGGTTTTCAGAACAGTGTTCTCCCTCACAGTAGGAGCAGCTTTATCCTGTAAGCTTGTCTAATCCAACTTCAGTGATGCCCCTGTGCTCCCTCTGAGGAAGGCTGAGAAGTGTCACCGGCCATGGTTTTACTGACACTAAGATCAAGGGAAGACATGGAGGAGGGCCTCACGGAGGTGGTACTGGAGAGACAGCCCCTAGGGAAAAGTGTTTTGCGGCTTCATGAAAGAGACTGTTCACAGAAGAAAAACAAAGTGGAGAGGGTCCATCAAAAAACATCTGAAGCCTATTTTGGGAGAAGAAACTCAGAGAGTAGGGCCTCAGGGATGAGTTGGAAAATAGTCAATTAAGAAAGAACCAGCTAGGGGACTCTACGGGGCCTGAAGCTGAATGTTTCTAATTAAATGTTCCTAACTGGGTTGATTTCCCTATTTTATCTGAGTGGTGCACACATCATTACTTAAACCATATGTGCTATTGCTTATCTTAGGAATGAAGCTCATCTTGTGGTCCACTGTAACATCACACTTCATAGTGTCCTAACGATGCACAGGTAGATTTTTAGCTATTTTCACAATCGAGGTTAGAGAAAAGCCACATGAAAATCCCATCAAATCATATTTTCTGGCCAATAAGCTGTGAGGTTGACAAGTAGTCATGGCTGAGTATTTGGCATATAGGAAAAAAAACATGGTACAGGAAACATCTACTTTCTAATCACAGCTCTGCCATATTAATTACTGATCTCTGAAGCTTTATTTCACCTCTCTGAGCTGCCATTTGCTCTTCTATTTAATGTTCTCTTTTCTACAGAAGATTAAATGAGAATGTATGGAATGCAGATGGCATGGTGCCTGGCATTCAGTAAGTGCTCAAAAATATGAGTTCCCACTATCCCTCAGAATATCACCTTCAAAGAAGTGAATGGCCTTGACCAGGTGGCTCAGATCAGTGGATGCTCAGCACAGATGCTGCCCCTTCTGGTAATATGTCTGCTAGCAGCATGCAGAAGACTTTGAGACCCTTGTGGCGCCAAAAGAGGGAAAGGTGCCTGGGTGGAAGAAATACGCCCACTGATTGCTTAGGGGTATTATATGAAGGAGAAAGTTTCACTTGTTAAGACACTGAAACTTTGGAATTTATTTGTTCTGGCAGCTAGCAGTATGCTAAATAACTTACTCCCATCCCCACCAGATCACATTCTTGCCTTCATAAGCCGAAGTGCTTAGTACCATGCCCTCCCTCCGGACCACAGAGATCAGCCAATGAAGCCCTATGCCAGATCCCTCCCTGTCATCAGTAACCAGGGCAAGAAAAGTGGAAGGGATTCTCTATCCTTCACTACCTTCCTTTCTTGGTCTTAATGCATAGTATTACATGTCTCAGACCGACAAGGGTGTCACTGAGGAATGGCATTCTCAAATGCCTTAAGAACATTCTCAAAACTAAGTGGAAATTGTTCAAGAAAGAGATAAGGAAATGGGTAATGGAACCCCAGAGATGCTCTCTATTACCTGCATCCTCGCTGACAGTGAAAGCCGTGTTGCCCAGGGACACAGTGGAGGCATCATTGGGACCACTAATGAGCACCTTGGCCAACGCTACCCTTCCGATGCGGGCATTGTCAGAAGCATCTGCCAGGGCAATCTCAAACTCTTCTTCCTCTTCATACTCACTGTCATCAATGAGCATGACATCACAGGTGGACATGGTGACACCAGGCCCGAATATCACACGACTGTCAGCAGACATCCCTCTAGATTTAAAATCAGAGCCCGATTCTAGAGCATAGAGGCTACTTCCCATAGCTGACTTAGGGATTGTGTAGCAAATTGCAGATACAATGCTGCTTGAATCCCCTGAAATACAAATGGTAAGAAAACCAAAGCATTTGAATGAGCACTTCTCAAATTCTAAAATTGCTGATAGTTTGGTAAGCTTGGTTCCCTCTGACACATTCCATCACTATTTCTGTTCAAACTCTGACATGAAACCTTCCTGCACTGCAGTTTCTTAAGCCTGTTGTATAAACCACTTGAGGATTTAATATACCCCAGATACTTCGCCAAACAACTTAAAATGGATTTCCTATTCTGTGAATTTTGTGCTCTGTTAATTCACAAGACTCATTGCCCACCATCTAAGACCACAGCGGGTAGAAAGATAAGAGACATATTTGGTACTTTAAGTAGCAAAGTAATTGTGTCCCGAAGGTAGTGATCTGAGCACAGTTCACCGCCTTTCTGAATAAACTTCTGCACTTTAATTCTCAGGGAGAAATTGGCTTGTTTAAAAAAAGAAAAACAAAACAAAATAAAACCTGCCTCTCTGTACAAATGACTTTGCTTATTAGTGCTGCCACGTCCCTGGAAGACAGCCTGTTCTGGGTCTGGCTTGCTGGCCCAGAGCAATCAATGGGGCTTACTTGTTTTCCAAGTGGCATCACCAAGGGTTTGCATTATCTACAGTGTTTGTTACACTAATACCCAGTCAGCAGATTCAATAAAAAATCTGACCTCATCACTTATAGTCATGTTCTGGTTTTGAGTGGGGGATTTCATTTCCATGAGTTTTAAAGTCTCAATATTGCATGATCATAAATGCATATGATCTTTGTTTTGTTTTCAATCCCTCAAGCATTGCCCTTTATTTCTCACACACAGTTTATCTCTCATCTGAGCTCTATCTGTGACAGTCACAAAGGAAAATCTTTAAACATATTTTCTGTCTTCCAAGACTAAGATGAGAAGCCATTTCTTACAAACTTCCCTGCTTGACCAAGGCTACTACATATTTATAGATCGGCTGATTGATTAAGAATTCTAAGTTCATGAATAATTTGCAAGGCCAAATATAACCAGTCTTCTAATCCCATTAAAGAATAAATGGGAGCACTAACAACTTGAACCAAGAAGAGGAGCCTTCTGATAGTACTCACTACAGGTAGGATCACTGTTAGAGTTGTTCTGGGAATTAAACATGTAAAGCACTTACACACAGAAGTTAATATGGTACATGAGCACTTGGCACATAAAAAGGATGCAAAAAAATGTTAGCTATTATTATAGCTTGTTGTCACCTTTGGCACCAACAGACCTTTTCTTTCAATAGGCGCAAACAGAAAACCAGCACTCTCGTTGACCCGGTAGGTCTTCTTATCAAACTCTAATGTGGGTTCATCCTCAGTGTCATTGATAATGACCTTCGCCTGGGTGAACTCCCCTAATAGGGCATATGCTGGCATGCTGAGCTCCACGGTGAAACTCTCAACATTCTCAAACACATCATCATCATTGATGATAATGGTGCAGGACTTGGTATCCTCTCGCTCATCAAACTGCACCTGTCAAAAAGGAAACAGCAAGGAGTTACATTGTGCTTCAGATTCCCCTGCTATGCTCCCCTAGATCATCCTGGGAAAAGGGACCCAAGCCTAATGGGCAGAGCACTGAATGAAATAGCTAGTTCTTCTACCCCAACTTCTTGCTGTATCACCTGGAACACTTAGCTACGTCTTCCTATTCTTCATCTATACATTGGAGCTGATTTACTGTATAGGGACATGGAACGCAAAGATACCTCCTACTATCTGGTGACTGTAGAAAAACAGGTTGGTAACTACTCATATCTTATTTTATTAATTCACTTGGAGCAAGAGTGATTTGATTACTCATGTCCCCTTCTATTTGTGGCAAGTTTACCTGGAAAGATCTTTGAACTTGGAGTGTGAAGTTCTGGGGGTCTCAAGTTGGGATAGTCTATGAATTTTTACAAATATTGGATTCCTCATCAGCTAAATAATAATTTCACACACTTATTTCACATATTTACTGGGAGGACTAAAAGACACAATGTATAATGAAAGTTTCAAGTATATTTTAAAGCACTGAACAAATGCGAGATATTATCCTTATTACCATGGTTATACTGTTTTTACACAATCAAAATTGACATAGAATCTCAGTGTACTGGATAATGGAGTTTGAATCCAGAGAAAGTTACATTATGAACAAGCCAGACTAAATTTTAACATTATATTTAACTAAATCCTTTGTCATTAAGATAGGATAGGTCTATAATGTATATGAATTTAGCCTGATACAAGACAGAGAAATTATTTTATATTCACACAATCATGAACTTATAGGGATTTATTCTGTTTTTACTTTGTCTTAAAAAAAAGATAAAGATAAAACCTTGAAATGGAACCAGGGTTATGGATTTATTCAAAACTAAAAGGTTAGGGAATAGGCCCAGATTGTACTTTGTATAAACTGAGATAGCTAAAATATGTAAAATAGTCATCAATCTCTAGGGACACACAAATCTGAAAAACACATAATTTTCATCAGCAGAAAATTACTATTCCATATCTAATCAACTAATCAAATTAAGTTTTACTAAGCTCCACATTTCAAAACACTCCATAGATCTCTATTTAGCTCTAGAACCCACTAGAAACACCCCTAGATCTCTATTTAGCTCTAGAACCCACTGCCTTTTGTCTTTCCTTGACAAACACAAATAAATGTTATTATTTTTCTAAAGATTCCTTATTCTTTTCTCATTCCTCATTTAAATTGACCTCAGCCCAGCTGAAATGCCTCAAAGAGAGAGCCCATTCCTCTTTACAGAGATTTATGATGTCATTAAGAATGGTGAAACTACTTTGCAAAAGCATTGAAGAAATACCTAGTAAGTGCCAGCTATTGTACCATATGTAAAAGATGGTAAACATGGGGCATCCTGCCATAAAGGACTTTACTGTTTAAGTCCTCTTCCTCTCTCTTTTGTGTTTACTCTCTCCGCTCTTTGCCTCATCCCCACCCTGGCTCTAGTTACCACCACTGTGGTAGAGACTTGCTCAGGCACCTCTGCCTCAGCTGCTCTCTGCACCCCCTTCCAACTGCTGCCACCACCACCATCACCATCACCACCACCACCACCACCACGACTGTGGTCCTCTCGGTCCTCTCACAATCTCAGGCACCTCACACTCGGCCTGTCCGAAGAAGCACAGCCAAGACCAGTCCTTGCCAAACCTGCTCCTCTGACAGTGTGCCCTCCCAGCAAGGGGCATCACCATCCATCTCCCACTTCTGCCCACTATCTAATCCACTATGAAATTCTATCAATTCTTACTCATCTGTTCAATCCACCCACTTGTCTCCACTTTTACTCCATAACTGAAACTCAAGCTCCCATTATCTCTCACCCAGGCTATTCCAAGAGCTTCTCAACCATCTTCCTGTACTCTCTCTTTCCTTCTCAGGTAGAGAAGGTGAGGGGAGAGGAAGGGTTTGGATGCCAAAGGTCTCACACAGAACACAATGGAGACTTTTTGTGGTCATGAAGCAAAATGTAAAGACTGAGAAGCTAGACAACTTAGACAGTTAAAACTTACACGGAGAGTAGATTAACTGGGAGGAACTAGGCCCTGTGAGAAGGGAACACAGGAAAATCACTTGAGGAAGGGCACCAATGGAAAGGGAAGAGGGGTAAAAATTAGGGGGAAGGCGCCTCACTTGCCAATGACCACAGTGCTGCCCTGGTGGAGCCAGCTGGCGGTCAGGAATCAGAGGCCTCCTCGCTCATCCTACCTGGCCAGCATATTCCACATAGTCCTGCTGTCCTGGCTGGAAGCTGACTCCGGAGCTGGGGCTGGCGGTCCCTTGCTCGGTGCGACACAGGACGATGGCATACTGGTTCAGGTTCCCAGTCCTCTGCACTGTGACGCTGACAGACCCCGCTTTCTCACTCACGTTGTAGCTGGAAGCACACAAAAAGGTGGTCTCTGAAATTGTGAACTGGGGCTGTGAAGAATCCACTTGTTTAATGCCTGTCTCTCCTGGTTGGTTACTGGTGTCAGGTAGTTAATAGAATAGGAAGTTTAGTTTCTTTAGGAAGCCAGGTTATAAATTGAGGAAACGTGTTCACCTGGAATAGTCACAGCACCAAGTGACCAAGAAGGCTGTGGATGCAGAATGGTATCTGCCCTGTTCTCAGAGCGAGTTGAAAGTCATTCAGAAAATGAGCAGCACATAGGAGCTATGCATGTTGTACTTCAAAACACAGAGGAATGACAAACAATCTCTCCCTCGTGTGGTAGAGTAACTAGAATAGTTCAGTGGGTTCTTAGGAAAGAAAGCTGCTTGGAAGACAATTAATGACTTAGCTCGGGTGGAAACTGACTGGACCAGATCTCCAGGAAGTGTGCAAAGGAGCCAGGGTGGTGGCAGAGAATCAGGCCTACATAACAAAGGAGTTAAGACAAATGGAGCTTTGTGACACTGGGGAGTGACAAGGTTCTATAGACTGAACATGTCCCCCCAAATTCATATGTTGAAATCCTAACGACAATGTGATCATATTTGGGAGGTGATTAGTCATGATGGTGGAGCTCTCATGAATGGGACTGCTCCCCTTATAAAAGAAGTCCAACAGAGCTCCCTGGTCCTTCCAGTATGTAAGGACACAGGGAGAAGACAACCGTCTATGAACCAGGAAGAGGATCCTCACTAGTCACCGAATCTGTCAGCACCTTGATCTAGGATTTCCCAGCCCCCAGAACTATGAGAAATAAATTTCTGTTGTTTGTAAGCCACCCAATCTATGGTATTCTGTTATAACAGCCCAAACAGTTTAAGACACAGGGTTAACTTAGCTTGCTGCTATGAATTTGTATTGCTTTTGCAAAGTAGAAGGCAAACTATACATGTGTCATTAATTCATAATAATTATCTAGGTTTAGAAAAGCCATAAGTGAGTGGGGCCTGAGCTGGGCCTTGGTTTTCATCCCTGAGGATGATGATCACAGATTCATTTGCCTTGCCCAGAGCCTACTTATGTCTTGTTGCTGTGAGGGTTGTAGGCAAAGTGCCCCTGACAGGTCAGTCCTCATTTCCAGGTTTGGGACACTCTGTACTATTCAGCCCAGTAAAAGTTGGAGGCTTGTCCAGAAAAAGTGATCAGGTTTAGACCATTTATTTAATTTTTAAGGAGATACAAACAAGAGAAAAATAACAGCAGAACTTACATATAAAAAGTTGATTATAATGTTCCACTAAGTTTTCTAAGTATGTGTGACTAAGACTGGAACAGCCCAGGACTGGGCACATGAAGTCAGGTTTGTAGGTTATCCCCTAACCCCCATTCCAACTTTCATCTGAATTATCATGAAACTGATTTCTTAGAGTAGTGAGTCTCTGAAATGTAGATCAAAAGAATTACCTCCTGCCCCTCCCCTGCTTGCACTCTGTCTTTCTCTCTCTCTCTCTCAAAAATAAACAGTAAAAAAAAATTTAAAGAATTATCTCCCCCACAAAATTATAACCCTAGTTATAATCTGACCTCTAAAAATCAACACTGCGCTTGCCTATCTTTACCAAAATTGGTGCTTACTTGCCTCTCAACCACCCAACAGGCTATAAAAGCACCTTAAAAGAGTTACCTATATTAGGCTATGAATTTGTTCCAAAAGATATAGAATTCTATGAACACCAAAGGAACTAGGGGGAGAATACAAACCCAAGAACAGAGAGAATGTAGGGGGAAGGCAAAGATGTTGTTATTATGAGCCAGTGATTACTTTCAGAACTTGAATGTGTATTTTGTTTCTTATCAGTTCAACTGTATTCTAAAACTTGAAGACAGAAGCAAAAATAATTGTAGGAGATGCAGTAAAGCACAATGGTTAAGATCACTGGACTTTAACCCTGGTTTTACCACTTTTTAGCTATGTGACTTCAGGTAAACTAGTTAACCTCTTTCTGTCTCCATTGCCTTGTTCTTGTGGGGATAACAATAGCACTCACCTTACAACTGCAAGTAGTAAACAAGATGATGTATGTCAATTGCCTGATACAAACAGTGTTAAAAAAAATTGGTGGTGTTATTTTTATTATTGTTATACCCACCACCAACATTATCAGATAACTAGAATTTATCCCCTGGTACTTCAATCTGATTTCCTCTGTTTGCCTGATATATTTCTCAAGAATGAAAAAAAAAAAAAAAAGAATGAACACCAATAACCCTTGTACCTGGTATATTTAAAGCTGATGAGGGACCATTGAACATGGAACACATTGTCGCTGACCACATTGGGTTTACTGTCTTTCACCAGAAACTGAAAACTATCCATCATCTCATGGATCTTCTCCTCGTGCAACACATAACGGATCAATCCCAAGTTCACATCCTCTGTGAGAAGAAACACATGGTGAATTAACTGGGGATGTAAAGGCAGTCTTGTAGATTCGACACTAACATACCCAGTTTATTCTTCTAATGGGCTGCAGACAGAAATTAATGTCCTAAGAACAAAAAGGGATAGTAGTCTTAAAAATAAATGTGTCTTCCAGATTTTAAAATAAAATCCTATAGCTCTGTGTGACAAAAGAGGGTACTTAGGTACAGAGAGTACCTTATGTTGTTGTAAAATGAGAATCCCAGGGTCTTGGCAAAAAAGGACTTTAATGAATCTCTCTGGAATGTTAAAGGCAAATCTGAGAGCTGATGGAGAAAAGTCTTTGATTCCATCCTCTGTATATACATGCTCATACTTACCCCTACTTCTTCCTAAATAAGGTTCTTTAGAAGGTACGTGCTATTAAGAAAAGCTGGGGTGTATTAAAACAGCTCATACATAAGGCACAGAAAACATGCTCTCTTCTGGGAAAGATCACAAGATTGAGAACAAGAAGAAAAGGGAAACATGGTGCCTGAGTTGTAAGGTGTAAGTTTTTGCAACGACTGCTTGAAGTAAGGTCCATCCTCAAAAGAAGTCTAGAAGAGTCTGACATACTTATAAGAAACTAAAATACAGAATGGTCCTTGATGTGATTCAAAATAGGAAAATACAGGGGCGCCTGGGTGGCTTGGTCGGTTAAGCATCTGACTTCGGCTCAGGTCATGATCTCACGGTCCATGAGTTCGAGCCCCGCGTCAGGCTCTGTGCTGACAGCTCAAAGCCTGGAGCCTGTTTCAGATTCTGTGTCTCCCTCTCTCTCTGCCCCTCCCCCGTTCATGCTCTGTCTCTCTCTGTCTCAAAAATAAATAAACGTAACAAAAAAAAAATTTTTCAAAATAGGAAAATACTTCTGTTGAGCAACCTACCCGTGTTGATTTTAATTACTTTGTTGAAGACTTAAAAGACAATCCATAACCCTTAGAGGACAAAAATAAACCATACAGGATAACAGATATTTCATAAAGTATAGTGGTTGTTTTTAAAGAAAATCAAGTATGTTGTACCCCTGAAACTCATGTAACATTGTGTGTCGACTATGCTTCAATTTAAAAAAAAGAAGAAGAAAACCAATCAATATGTCATCTTTCTACTAAATCTTGCCAAAACCTAAAGCATTTGGGAGCTGAGGAAGCACGGTAAGGACAAAAAGAAAAAAAATTTTTTTTTTTGCCACAATTCAGAGTAATAGGAAAAGGAAATCAGGAGAAGTAAAATTCCAAAGCTGGATGGTTAGACACTAAAAGATCTGTTTGTTTACAAATAAGTTACATGGGGATAAGTAGCTGGAAGTGGTTGTGAGAAAAGATCAGGGCGGTGGGGAGAGTTAGAACAGATTTATCCCATCTCGTGGGTCCCTGAGTCCCCACCCTGCGTGAAAGTAACAGTAGTTCTGCCAGGCTGGAGCCTGCTCTCCACGTAGCCATGCTTGGGGCCCGCTGTTATCTCATAGACAAGCTGCGGGTCCTCTGTGTCCGGGTCCATGGTCAGCAGTTCCTTCTTGGTGATCAGGTTGGTTGCCTGGAATAGAAACCCATTACATTTAATTCCTGAGGTGAGAATAAAGCCAGACCAAGACCCTCTGACTCAGAATTAATTCAGTTCAACAGTGATTTACTGAGCGCATTTACTGCATGGAAAACTCTGTCAGGTTTGAAGAGGTATGAGGACAGCAACCATCCCAGCCTCTGTCCTTGAGGTGTTCACACTTTATTGGGAAAGAAAGGTTCATGAGCAAGGTAACTCTTGTGGCAAGAGCCATAATAGGAGATACAAAAAGAGTACTGTACACTTTTTGGGAGTGGAGAGATTAATTCCATCTGGACTGGAGGAGAGATTTGAGATGGTGGGAAAGGTTGGAACTTTGAAACAATGATAATATACAGGGAAGACGGCCACTTTATACCTTATAGGAGTCAATCATAATAATCATAATGCTTGAAATTGAGTAAGATAAATACCCAAATATTGCCCAAATACACTGGCTAAACTTTAATTCTCTCATTCATCCATTCAACAAATATTTAGTAAGAGCAAAAGTTTGGGAGAAAAAAGGGGGTATTCAACAGTATTAAATATTGTAGGTCTAATTGAGTAAAGACATGTAAGTGACCTTTGGATTTGGCAAAATAAAGGTGTCATTGGTGATATGATAAGAGTTATTGCAGTAGGATAAAAGTGGGAAGTAGAAAACCAATTGGAGAGTGTTGAGAAGAGAATGGGATGGTTCTGAATATGGGGAAAAAAATGACACAGGGGATGAGAGGAGTTTGTACGAATTTGAAAAAATCCCAACCAGTTCAATAGAAAACTATAGCACAGCAGCTACATATACAGCCAACTAATTAGCTCCATGGAGATGAGAAAATCCACATCCTAGAGGGGACACCACACACAAAAGAAAGGACTCAGTGCATATGGATTTAATGCTTGATATGTAACCAGGTAAGAATCGTGGCATATCTTAAAAAGACCAAATTGGGATTTAGGAGGAGAAAGGAATTTCTAAACTAGAAGTCCTTTGAGGATACTCACCTACAAAATACTCACTTTCTTCTCATCAGTGCTTCCTGAAACCCATCCTCCCCTTCTTCTAGTTAACAAACTTTTAGCTGAGCCAGCTAGAGACTATTTCCCAGCCGCTTATGCAACAGATGGAGCCATATGACCAATTTCTTGCCAAAATAATATGAGTGTAAGTGATGTATTTAATTTCTGTATCACTTGTTTAAAATGAAGTTCCTTGCCCTCTACTTCTCTATTTTCCTCTTCCTATGGGCTGGAATGTCAATGAATAGCTTAAGAGTTTTGGCTATGTTGTTAACAGCAACAACCCAGCGATGCAGAACAATAAGACAGAAGGAATCAGCATCTCTGAACGGTCACGTAGAACCCTAGACTGCCCACTTACTTCCACTCTTTATGTGAGAAAAAAAAGAAAATAAATGTCTACCTTGTTCGAGCTTCTGTATTTTGGGGAGTCACTTTGTAAGAACATCTTAGACTATATACAATCTTTTTTTTTTTTTTTTTTTTTAACGTTTATTTATTTTTGAGACAGAGAGAGACAGAGCATGAACGGGGGAGGGTCAGAGAGAGGGGAGACAGAATTCGAACAGTTCCAGGGCTCTGAGCTGTCAGCACAGAGCCTCGACGGGGCTCGAACTCACGGACCTCGAGATCATGACCTGAGCCAAAGTTGGCCGCTTAACCGATTGAGCCACCCAGGCGCCCCAGACTATATACAAACCTTTTTTTTTTTTTTTTAATTTTTTTTTTCAACGTTTTATTTTATTTTTTTGGGGACAGAGAGAGACAGAGCATGAACGGGGGAGGGGCAGAGAGAGAGGGAGACACAGAATTCAGGGTGCCCAGGGCTCTGAGTCACGCCCGCCTGCAGCTCCAGCCCACCCACCCAAACCCCACTTAATGAACCCATGAGATCGCGGACAGTCGGACGCTTAACCGACTGCGCCACCCAGGCGCCCCCAGACTATATACAATCTTAATGAAACTCATGGAGCTTGCCAATCTTAGAAAAATCAGCTCCCTTAGGGAGGGATAAACGTGAGTGGAACTGGACTTCTATCCCCAAGTTGCCCTGAATAAGGACATAGCCCAAGTTGGTTCATGTGAATGTGGCAGATGGAAAGGCCTTACCTTGCCATCCATGTACTCCAGCCACTGGAGCCCCAGGTTGGTAACAATTCTAGGGGTGCCATCATCTACTGGGAGGATGTCTACTTGGAACTGCTGAGGTGCTGCTGTCATAACCTGTGGGGGAAGCCAAAAGAAAAAAAGTCATGATTCACAGACATTTGAAATATGTCAGGTCTGGGACCTACAGAGTTGCAACCCCTGAAATCTGATGGCACTTTAGCATGGGTGACTGAGCCAGTTTCCTACTGCTTGCCCCCCTTGGCATGAGGCACAGAGAAGAATGATGACTGAGAAAGTGGGGACAATATGACAAGGAAAGCAAGGAAAGTGGCACTTTCCTGCAATTCTACCTGCTAAGGAAGTTGACTTTCCCACACCCATGCATTCCTTAGCTGTGTTCAGTATTGCAATATTTTCCTTTCGATGACTCTTGTTAACATTTTCATGAGAGGTGGACTAAACTCATCATTAACAGGTTAATGTCAAAGTCCCCAGGTGTGATTCTGCCAGATGTGAAAAGACGTTTCACGGGACGATATTCTCTTCCTTTCTTTCCTTATTTTTGAGGGAGAACTGTCCATAGGGGGAAAGGGGCTGAGGAAATCAAGAATAAAAGCGTTTGTGGGAATAGTGAAAAGAAACTGGTCTATAATTTCACTGTCACACAGATACATGTCCACACACACACACTGCACATACGTGGTCTGCTCTCAGAACCTCACTGTTCCTTAGAAAATAAGGCACACCAGCACACAGGGCAGCAAGCCACTGGCTTTTCAATCTTCTGCAACCGTCCTAAATAATTTCCATTTCAAAAATAACACAGTCCCTCTGGAGACTACTATGACCTTTTGTGTTTATCAGAGAGGTAGCCTCTTGCTGATTCATCCTGAAATCTTTTCCTCTTCTCAAAGTCAAATTAAGTTGGGGAGCAGCTACGGTTTAGAAGAGAGAAAATAAAAGTGATGATCTGCCAGACGGTGACGCAGTGCAGACACTGAAATGGCAGGCAATCCCAAGAGGCGTCTCACCGGCACCTGGGCCAGCTGAGAATGACCTTCACACAGGCTGTCTCTAAGGGATGCATGGGGATCCTTCTTCCAGGAAAGGAATCATGCCCATGCATCATCAGAGTAGGAAAGGACTCCGCAGGACTGAGAAGTTGACCCTTTTGTTATCCTGAAATACAGTCGGGTGTGATCATGCTGCTCAGTAGAACTGCTTCTGCGGAGTCAGACACAGATGCCTGACATGCAGCCGTGTCCTCGGGCCCACCTTCTATCAGAGTTGCAATTATTCTCAGGGGTTATGATACTGCTGGAAATCTGGCTGACGAATAAAGGAGTGAGTAAGAACTGCAAGGAAGGTAGCGGAGAATGGAGAAATTCTCTTAGAGAAAAAGTTTGACAACTTTAGGACCTTAAGAGAAAAACACTGTTAACTTGTTCCACGAGCTGGTCCGAAAATGATGACAATGATGATGATACTACAGCCACAGTTTATTGAATGTTTCCTATGCTTCCTGTGTAAGGCACTGCGTTAAGTGCTTTACATATATCATAAAGGCAGATATCATCCCCATTTTAAGGACAGGGAAGCTGAGGCTTAGGAAGGGTAAATGACTTACAAAGACATTTCAGCTAGTAAGTGAGAGAGCTAGAATTTTAATCAGTGTCTTCTGGACACTGATTAAAAGCCACACTCTTAACCAGGTTATTCTTTAGGAGATTGAGAAACTCTGGCTGACTGAGGAGGCACAGAAAAGAAAAAGACAATCTAGAATCATATGAGATTATTGAAAAACCAGATGAAAGGAGTCAATGGATGGGAAAAAGGAAAAGGGAAATAATGACAGTCATAGTAACAATAACTATCACCCTTTCTTGTGCATGCTATTTGCCAACAATATTATACACTTTCTGTGGATTACCTCCTTTGAGCCTTAGACTAACTGAAATTGTACCCATTTCACAGGTAAAAAGCTGAAGCTTACAGAAGTTAAGTGACTTGCCCAAGGCCAATTAGTGACAATAAGAACATTGCTATTCTTGGCCTAAAAATGCCATGTTCTGCCTCTGGACAAACTTGGGCACACTTTGCTGTGTCTCCCTCCCCACTGTCTTTGCCCCTTACCTCTTTTCCTCCTTCTTCAATGATGAAGAAGGGGTTTGTCCCATCAGCCACAGTGAAGGTGAAGTGGTCTCTGAGGGAGTTGCTGCCATCATGGCTGTAGCTGACCCGGTTCTGGTAGATGTCTTCCATGGTGAAGGTGGAGGTGTGCCAGAAATGCTGCCCATTGGTGGTCCGCTCGATGGTGCCGTGGCGTGGAGGCTGCACAATGGCGAACGTGACAGACTCGGCCTGTTGAGGGCATACAAAGCCAGGGGAGAAAAGAAGTTTGTAGCAGAAACCGGATTTGTCAGTGATGGCCAGCAGGTGGTCAAGGATACCCAAACCTAAAGATGTTTATAAAATAAGGATTGCATTTGCCTTACAGGTGCCAAAAATAAAACTAAGGAGAGAAACTATATTGGTTACTACAATTGAACTTATGTTCTGGCGCCTTCTGGTGTCAGAAGAAGACTTTTAGATTTGTCTTTTAAGGGTCAAAGGGGAAAACCTGAATTTCTTAAAAAAATTTTTTTAATGTTTTTTCATTTTTGAGAGAGAGAGAGAGAGAGTGAGTGAGCAAGCAGGGGAGGGGCAGAGAGAGAGGGAGACACAGAATCCAAAGCAGCTCCAGGCTCTGAGCTGTCAGCATGGAGCCTAATGCAGGGCTCGAACCCACAGACTATGAAATCATGACCTGAGCCGAAGTTGTCCGCTTAACCAACTGAGCCACCCAGGCACCCCAAAAGCCTGAATTTTTAACCTCTGCCGGGATGATAGGAACCAGACTTTTAAAACCATTCATTTCCTTCCTAACCTTTTCTCCACTTTCCCAAAACTCCCATGTATAGAATCCCATATGCGACAGAACATAAGCTAATTTCCCCTGTCTAGTTGTGGCTTCTAGGGTGTCACATAGAAGAAAAAAGAAAGATGTAGAAAACTCTGTTCAAGACTTTCCAATGATTTCCCACCAACTTAGAATAAATGCAAAGGCCTGAGTTGGGCCAATGAGGCCCTCTGTGGCCTAGCGCCGGGCTTCCTCTCTGGCCCCCATTCCTCTTTTCTGCTGCTTGCTTACTGGGTTCTGGCTTCTTGGCTTCTTTGTTGTAACTCAAAGGTTCCAAGCACCTTGACTGCAGGCCCTTTGCACTTCTGGTTCTTCTTCCCAGAGAGTGACTCTTTCGGACAACTGCATACCTTGTTCTTCCACTTCATGATATCTCTGCTCAAATATCAGCTCCTCAGAGAAGACTCCCTTGGCCACTCTGTCTAAGATAACACACCCTTCAATCTTGATCTCCTTTGTCTTGCTTCATTTTTATTCATAGCACCTATCCTATCTGACATGATGTTTATACGTTCTTTCTTGTCTGTTCCCTTAACCTAACGCTGAAACTCCCTAAGCCTGGAACTTTGTTTTGTTCACAGCCCTCTATTTAGCATCTAGAGCAAAGCCTGGCACTTACTAGGTAATCAATGTTTTTGAGAATAAATGAACGATTGAGGACTGGCACAGGGAAAGACACACAGAACTAATGAACAAATGCTATGGTACTCTTCTATGGGAGAGCTGAGTCATGCCAGAATGTTAGATACTTTAACTTGAAAGCATCATGAGATTTAGAGTTTAGTCTCTATGTGCTCTGTTTTACTGAATAAAGCCTAGTTCTGTAAGGATGCTCAAATTTTAATAATCAGTTGTCATTCAGAGAAGTCTGAATGAAGCAGGTAAAATGATAGGAAAAATGAATAGGTATCCAAAACACTTGTTCACTCTAATGAGAAAAAATTAAAAAAATGGGTAAAATGCCATCAATCTAATTTTCTATGAATCATGATTTAAAAAACCAGCATGTTAAAGGATTATTACATGTAATCAGGGGAGAGAGAGAATGCTATTTTGGATTCGAGAAAGTGTTTAAAACCAATTTGATCTCAAATATTATTAGTTTCTATTTTCCAGAAGGCCACAGTATCTTCTAGGTTTTAACCCTTCAAGGATGCCTGCATGAACCTTACCCTTCTGCCCTACTCTCAGGATGCATAGTCACAAAGCAACAGATCAGCCTCTCATTCAACCAGAGAACCAAGTGGAGTGCTCTTACCTCTGTGTCGGCATCCACTGCCTTGAGCTCAAACTCTGTGATGGTCTTCCTCACACCCTCCTGTACCCGCATCCCCGAGTTCTGTACAACAGGAAGTGAATCATCCACAGGGCGTATGGTGATATGGAAAGTCTGCGTCACCTAGATGGCAGAAAGTGCAGGTGGGACAACTGTCCTCAGCACCCACCCATGGAGAAGGTAGGTGCTTTTTCTACTTTTCCTTTCACCCATTCCCGGCATGACTGACTGATTTGGAATCCAGGGTGATTTCCCTTTGGCGAGAGCCCCAGGGCTGTCAGAAGCCGCCACTCGCCTTGGGTGAGAGTAGGGGAAGGTGAGGCTTGCATAGTTGCTTTGCATCAAGGAAGACTGTGCAGAATCAGTACCCATTCACTGAGGGAATAGAGTGCCTTGCCTACCTCGCTGACTCCATCTGAGAGTGTGAAGCTGAAGGCATCTGAATGTTTCTCGGTCTTACTGGAGTGGATATATTGAATGTTTCGTGAAGTCAAGTCAGCTTGAGTAAAGGAATTAATCTGGATACCTAGCAAAAGGGGAAGAGAGAACCAGAGAAAGGATGTCAAAATGCTAGCCATACTTCTAATACTAGAGAAATGCCATACTCTCATCACACAGGTCCTTTGTATTTCTCTCATAGCATTTATATGCTTCTCTCTGAGACGCTGTGTTAGAGTTGTGTGTGTGTGTGTGTGTGTGTGTGTGTGTGTGTGTGTATACAACAGCACACGTTCTGTGGGAGCACATGTTAACTTAATTATTTAGTTTCTACTATGTGCCAAGCCAACAGCAGGTGCTCAATACTTGTTCCTCTCCTTTCTCTAGGGGTTCATGTATGCAGGTCAAATCTGTGAAAGGTAGAGCCATTGCCTTAGTCTCCAAACTCCTCTCTCTTAGGTTTTATATTCCCCTATAGCCTCAGAGTCCTTTCTGAAAACCTGCCCTAATTTTTAATATTGTGTCATGACTTAGCTTTTGAACACTGGAGTCACAGGGCTTGGCTACACATAGCCTTTTTTCTGTGATTAGTGAGCTTGGCATCCAAGATTTCATTGGATATTCTTCAAGGTCCCTTTCAACTCTCTGGTGTACGATTCTAGCTTCTCACATACCACTTTAGCCAGGCTGGCAGTTACAAAACATACTGTATGGCTTTGGGGTTTGAGCAATAATTCCATCTCAACTCTAAAATGGCCTAAAAAGCCAGTATCCTTTAAGAACATGATATAGAGAAAACACGTTACATTTTTTTTCAGTCATTTTAAAACTCAAAACAAAACAAAAAAACCTAAAGTGATTTTAGGTGATTTTAACACCCATATCCCACAAATGAATAACATCTTATGTTTTTAAATGTCCGACAATATTTTATCAAAACAGCTCAGACTTCTTGCTCCTATCTTAGGGCTTTGGGCTTCCGTGGTTCATCCTCTGGTGTCAGCCAAGACTGAAACGAACCCATATCAAATGTAGTTTTAGTCCCTCAGCACAAATTCCCTCTTTCTGTTTCTGGGTGATGGGGTATTAATCCATTGAATCTGGTCTTTTGGTTTGGTCCTTAAATATTCATTTGCTGTTTCCTGGAATTTGTTATTTGTCATTGTTAATCCTGGGGAAACCAGTTTGTTGTTTTAGCAAAAAAACCCAGAGATTCTACTTTGACTGTTTTACATGTAACTGTGGCATCAATATCACTGCTTTATCTTAAAAAAAAAAAATCAACCCGCATGGTTTATACATTTACAACTCTCTTTATCATTTGAAATTTGTTACCTAGATACAACAGTCTCCTGGATACTGGGGCATTATTTTTCTGATGAGGAATTTTATATTTCTGTGCTTGCTACATCAGCTCTTGACAGGCAAAAAATATAGCCTCCTGTCTTATCGCTTTGTCTTGTGGCTCTGGACAGAAATCCATACCATTCTTTAAAAATGTAATAACTTCAGACTGGCTGCACTGAGAAATTTAAATCTTTTTCCCTGCTGTGAATCCATCCTCACAGCTCATGGGGAAATTCGTGTATGGATTCTCGCAATCAACTGGTCACCTAATTCACTGTTCCCTTTATATGAGTCTTTTATAGTCTAAGAGTGATGAAGAAAGGTGATAGATTTTTTCCTTCTTCTTGGAAAGAAAGGTTTGGAAGTGATCTTTCCCTTTTTTAACATTTCTTACTGAGAGGAAACTGACATATAATAAATTACACATATTTAAAGTATGCTTGGGCACATCCATGAAACTATCATCTCAATCAAAATAGTGAACATTTCCATCACCCCAAAAGTTTCTCAACTGACATTGTATAATCCCTCCGTTCTTCCCGTTCTCATGCCTTACCCTATCCCAAAGAAACAAATCAATTGTTTTCTGTAACTGTAGATTAGTTGGGTTTTCTCTAATTTTTTCATAATTAGAATCATAAGCTATGTATTATTTTATGCCTGCTTTTTTTTCACTGGGCATTATTGTTTTGAGATTCATCCATATTGCAGCATGTACTAATAGCTTGTTCTTTTTTATTGATGACTGGTATTCTATTGTATGGATTGATTACAGTGTGTTTCTCCATTGACCTGTTGATGGACATTTAGGTTATTTCTAGTTTTGTGCTATTGCAAATAAAGCTGTTATGATCATTTGTGCACAAGTCTTGGTATGGGCTTAAGTTTTTATTCTTCTTGGGTAAATCTCTAAGAGTGGAATGGTGGGAATGTTAGGTGCATGCTTAACTTTTTAGGAGACTGCCAAACTAAGTGGTAATTTTATATTTCCACTAGCAGTATATGACAGCTCTAGGCTTGATCTTAATGAGCCTTTCCCAAGTTGACCTAGCAAACACTGAGCACCTACTCCATGTGTAGAACACTGTTTCACACTTGCTTATGTATATTGAGTTGTATATTCTGGGAGGTCAAGGTTGGCATATTACGTCCATTTTTCTAGATTATGACACGAATAAAATTAGAAAAGCAATGTGGTCTATCCAAGGTCACACAGCTAATAGGAGGGCAGTGCTGGGGCTGGAGCTCAAGGTTGTCCAACTTTAAAGTTTATGCTCGTTAGGAGTACTTTTTGTACAACTCATCTAACCTTTTCAGGCTAGGTGAGGAGCCTTTTGAATTTTACCCCTATCCTTTAATTTTTTTTTCCAATATAAAAGTAATACGAGCCTATTAGAGAGAATGTGAAAAACACAGAAAAATAGTGAAAAATCACAAAAGCCACCCGGGAATCTACCTCTGTAATATCACCATTGTAATATTTTTAATTGATTCATTTTTTCTAGAATACTTTCTTGGCTATAACATTTGTCTTGTCCGATATCCCTAACCTAGTGCCAGAGGGTAACGCGCTGCATCTAGAACATAAGCTTCAAGAGGACGAGGATTTTTGTTGTTTCTTCACTATTGGGCACCTACAATAGTGCCTGGCACACAACAGGTACTCAAAACATGGTTGGTGAATGAATTCAGTTCGTCCACTCTAATTCCTATCTAAGAGGTCCTACTGAGCACAGATTTTCAATCTTTATACATGTAAGAAAAAATTCCGGCCTTTGTTAATTGGGCATTGGAAGACCTAAGCTACTCCCCATCAAGATGGTGTTTCCAATAACATATTGTCCCTACTGGCTGTCACAGCAGGTAGTTACTGTTTGAAATATCTTGAAGGCATTTAATCCCATCGAAGGTGTTTTCAGCTACCAACCCGCTGGCTAAACTATGTATCTGGCAGTATTACAGAGACCCACATTAACCCTGTCAGTTTTTCCAATTCCCCTGGAGGGCCAGCACATTAGAGAAAGTTCAGTCCAGGTCAGGGAAGCAGCGTGGGAATAAAGTATCTTTGAAGAAATTGCCTTCCCTTTGCCTCAGCCTTCCTGCTTTCTGCAGAGCTGTGGATAGCTCTGTGACACTGCCTGTGTCCTACCTCAGACTCAGGCTGCGGGGGACTCTCAGCTTCTCTACTTCAGATTTTCTTCAGAGCCTCCGGTCACGGAATGAATTGTATCCCTTTCCTTACCACCGCTCGCCCCCCAATTCATATGAAGTCCTAACCCTCAGTACCTCACAATGTGACCTTTTTTGTAAATAGGATCATTGCAGATGGAAGTAGTTACAATACCATCATTAGAGTGGCCCTAATCCAATCTGATTAATGTGCTTATAAGAGGGGAAAGTTTGTCACAGACATACCCATACAAGGAGCATGCCCTGGGAGCACAAAGACGGCCATCTCTATAAGCTGAGGAGAGAGGACTGGGCCAGATTCTCCCGCACAGCCCTTGGAGGGAATCAACCCTGCTGACAGCATGATCTCAGACCTCCAGCTCCAGATCGTGAGACTTTGTTAAGTCGCCCAGTCTGTGGTACTTTGTGACGGCAGTCTTAAGTGCACTAACATACCTCTGCTCTTGGGGAGAACCCAAACTAAAGCCATGGGTGCATCCTATTTTGGTTGGTGTCAGGATACTGAGAGAGGGTGAGAGAAAGCGGAAACCACTGAATACCTTTGCTAAAGCATCATCTCTGGGAAGTCTTTCCTGACTCACTACCACACCTCTCTTAGGTGGAACTCGCTGTGCGTTGGCTCTCACTGTCCCGTAATGTTGCTGTCACAGCTACTGAAACGCATTTGCACAGGTTTGTTTACACGTCTCCCACCTCCAAAACAAATTTCCTCCTGCAGCAGCTACTCAGTCAGTGTTTGGTGAAGGTGAGAACCAGTGCTATGCTGGAGACTGCTGTACTCCTCCCTGACTTGAAAAGTACAAATCCTCCCTGTTGGCTAAGCAATTGGATGCCCAGTTAGGGTCTACATTTCCCAGCCACCTCACAGCTTTGTCTGACTACTCTCTGGCCACTGGGATGTGATCAAAATTGATGTGTGTTCTTTCGGTAATATTCCTAAAATAGAAATGGATGTGGGCTCCCCTGGCCTTTGCCTCTTACTGCTGGCTGGGGAATGGCAACAATTACAGTGGTCACCTCAGCCAGAGATGGAAGCCTCATATTGAGGATCATGGAGCCACTTTAGGCCATCTGGACTACCTGCCTCCGGATTTTTCTGTGAGAGAAAATGAATTTCTTGTGGAAGGCACTGCAATTTAGAGTCTTTTTGTTCCAGAGACTTAGCTTCTATCCTAGTAACTCCTTACTCTGATTTCACAGGAAAACGAGGATCTTTAGGGTCCCTGACATGAGGGGATGGCCCCTCAACCTTGCAAAGGGCACACACGGGCAGGCCCATGTCTGTCTTCTACACAGTCTGTACAGGCATGTGGCTCCCTAGATCTCAGGGGACAAAAATAGGATCTCCACACCTGTCCTGTCTATCCAAAAAGAACAACTCACTGACCAAGACAGACAGTATGAGAATAAGTCCACTTCATAGTTAACCAGTGAAAGGATATCTGCAGGCACTGATGGAAACTGATAATTCCAAGAGGCATCAGTCCCAAAATAGCTCAGTGCCTGCACCACAAGACACTGGCCTAGGAGCTTGCTTCTCGCAAAGCACAGGCCAGCCCACCCCAGCTCCTGGTAGATCCATCCGCGCCTACTGAGGCAAAAAGGCAAGGTGCAGAGGCTTTTCTCGAAACTGAGCCAGCTGCCTTAAGAGAGGAATGTAAGATATCAACATGCATTTCCTCTGAAGGGACACCTTTTACATCTAAAGTATCAAATTCATAAAAATATTCTCTCTTAGGGCAGACAGGGAATGTGAGAATTCTGTCTAAATGCTACAGAAATGACTCAGAATGGGGTTGGAGATGTGAGAAGGGGCAGGGAAGCTCTGTTCCATTAGCAATGGGGAGGGGCCCCTAAGGGTAAAGGGGAGGGGGCTGGATCCTCATATCTGGTCCACTGACAGTTTCTAGAAACAGGTGGATGGAGAAAAACTGGCGGGAGTGCGAGTCAAGTGGGTTAGGAAGCCAAGCCTGGTGGAAAAGGGAGGTGAAAGAAGTGTCCTGGGGAAAGGGAGCCCTCCCTCCTTTTGTGGAGGGTACTTTCCCAAGGGAGAAGTATGATCATTAAGAGCCTTTCTCTAAGCAGCACTGGATTGGTCTTGGCAACCAGAATTTAAGCCCAGGGAAGGCTGAGACTGTAAAACCAGAAAAGGAGTCACTGAAGCAGCCTCACACTGAACTCTTGATACAGCCCAGGGTCAGAGAAGAGCGGGGGCTGGGGTTTACCATCAGGAAGGCAGCTCACAGTGCCTTGCATAAGGCTCAGTGCTTTTCAAGCTCTGTACAGTGTGGATGCAGCTGCCTAACACAACAGCCAAGAGTCTGCCCTTTCATCTTTGGAGAGATACAATCAGCAACCTGACAGAATTCTGGCAGAAGCAATTAGCTCATGAATTAGTTATCAAATATCTCCTGCAGCCAAGGTCTTAGGAGTGCTGATGTGCATTCTTCCCCCAGGAACTTTGGGACAAAAGGGTAGGCCATTTGCTTCCATTTGCATTAGGGATGTTTTTTTTAATGTTTATTTATTTTTGAGAGAGAGAGAGAGAGAGAGAGAGAGAGAATGAATGAGCAGGCGAGAGGTAGAGAAAGGGAGACACAGAATCCAAAAGCAGGCTCCAGGCTCTGAGCTGTCAGCACAGAGCCTGATGCGGGGCTCAAACCCACGAACTGTGAGATCATGACTTGAGCTGAAGTCGGACACTTAACTGACTGAACCACCCAGGCACCCCTGCATTAGGTATTTTTGCCAATCTCCCCATCTTCCCCTATGCCCTCCCACCAAAGACTCAACACTTTCCCCTCCACCATCCCCATCACCATGGTGTGCCTTCCCCTCCCATCCTCTGACATCTCTCACCATGGGTCTCCCTCTCATTCTTCCTCTCATTCACCCTGCCCCAGCCACACTGGTCTTGCTGCCTTTGGAAATGGATGTGCCACGCTGATCCCAACTCAAGGTGTTTATACTCACTGACCCCTCTGTCTTGAAAGCCTTTTCCTTACAACATCAGCATGGCTGGCTCCCTCACTCTCCTCAGACCTCTTCTCAAGTGTCATCTTATGTTAGGGAGTCCTTCTTCCCTTACCCCCTTTCTCCCTGCACCCTGGAACATTCTTATTTCTCCCTCTAATACTCATAACCATTGTTATAGGATGCATTTGCTGGCTTGTTTGCTTATGCTCTGACTTCCTGTATTAGAGAGTGAGTAGAATCACAGTGAGTACATCCTCTGTTTTGTCATTCCCCTGGTTGAAAGATTGAAGGCTCTGTAACTTAAAATCCAAAGGAAACCAGTGAAGCTCTAAATCTGCAAATGATCACTGCCTCTATGATGTACGAAATAAAGACACCTCTGCCTTTACATTGTTCAGCAAGCATCTTCAGTGCCTCACATCCATTCAGCCAATTTCTATAGGTTTCCACTCTGAAATTCCTTCTTCCTTCCCTCTCTCCCTCCCTCCCTTCTTTCCACCAACTACTGTCTATTGAATATTTACTGGGTGCCAGGTATTATCGCTTACATCATTCCTACCTTCCTATACCCACCGCTGCCCGTCTGGGTGAAACCTCACTACCGACTATTGAGCCCAAATGTGAAACTTCCAACCCACTATCACTGCCTCCTTTTTCTTTCTTTCACTCATCTGTTAGACATTAGATGAATTTCGCTTTCCTAACCTGCTCAGAATTCTGTAGTAACTCTCTATCGCCTATTGAATTTAATAGGGATTACTTATCCCAGCTTTGAGGACCCTGCATAAAATCTCACTCTGCCCAAGAGCCGCATCTACTCCTGTTTTCAGAGTATATGCTTTAGCTAAACTGGGCCACTCATCATTTTTGGAATGTACCCCCATGCCATTCCCATCTCTGAAAATAACACAATTTCTGTTTGCCCAAAGTCTACCTTCTAAGGGCTCTTTTAAATGCCATCTCTGTGCACCTTCCTACCCAATGTAGCCTCTCCCATTTTTTTAAACATTTATTTACTCATTTTTGAGACAGACTGAACAGGGGAGTGGCAAAGAGAGAGGGAAAGAGAGAGAATCCCAAGCAGGCTCCACACTGTCAGTGCAGAGCCTGACGTGGGGCTTGAATCCATGAATCGTGAGACCATAACCTGAGCCAAAATCAAGAGTCAGATGCTTAACTGACTGAGCCACCCAGGTGCCCTTAGCCTCTCCCATTTTTGAGCTTCTATGACACCAGGTTTATACAACTCTTAAAATACCTGCCATATTCTTCTCTTATATATGGTTATATGCAGAGGTTTCTTATCTCATCCAATAGAGCACACTGGAGGGTGAGGATGCAATGTCCTGTACCGTTTTCTTAGAGAGTGAGGCTGGGATCTCCTATATCTATTTTTCTCTCCTCAGCAGCAGCTAAACTAGAATCTTGCTCTATACACATGCTCACTTGCTATTTCCTGAATTACCTTAAATTTTTTTTTTAATGTTTATTTATATTTGAGTGAGAGAGAGAGAAGGACAGAGCATGAGCAGGGGAGGGGCAGAAAGAGAGGGAGACACAGAATTCGAAGCAGGCTCCAGACTCCAACCTGTCAGCACAGACCCTGAGATGGGGCTCAAAGTCATGAACCGTGAGTTCGCGACCTCAGCCAGAGTCAGACGCTTAACTGACTGAGCCATCCAGACGTTCCTTTCCTGAATTACATTTCCTGGATTAAGCACAGTGCACCACACTGTGCCGGGTGCTCAGACTTTAGAAGAACAGGGTGCAGTGTTTGCCCTCAAGGAATTGACAATCTAGTTATGGAGACAAGATTGCTTACATAAAATTGCAATTGTTCATTCAGGTTTCAGCAAGAAATTATTGAGTATCTATTGCATGCCAAATGTAATGCAAGGCAGTATATAATGGTCAAAATTCGTAATGCAAAAAGTAAATACTAACAACGGCAGATTCTAGGCATACATGGCTTACTCCCAACGCTTACTAAATCCCAACTTTTGGTTTGATGAAGCAAGAGGCGATAGGCTTACCGGGTGACGCTGCATGCTCTAGATGGCCCAGTTCAGGTTTTCTAGTGATTCTATAGACCAATTCTGCAGGCTTACTCTCCTGGTCCATGGCAGAGAGCTGCAGAGTGGTGATCTTCTTCACCGAGTTCTCATCCAAGACCAGCCCTTTGTTGGTGGTGACGACTGGTGGGGAGTTGTCTTCTGAAAATATCAGAAGTAGTAATTTGAAAGAGGATCCTTTCAGCTTCCTTTTTTCAATTCTGGGCCTAGTGCCCAGGAGTAAAATCAGAATAATCCTTAGGCCTGTCCCTCAGGGAGTGCACCAAGGATCAGCTTCACACAATAGAGGGGACAGTATTCCAGATTCCCATGTGGCTGGGTAAAGGAAAGGCTCCAGCCTCAAGGTAAGCACAGTGTAGACTATATAACCCCAGAACTGCTGGAATATTTTTAGAAACCCAATGACCCCTTACCCAAAACACTGATGGAAAATGACTGGCCGATCAATGTGTTGCCTTCTCCATCGACCACATCAAATTTAAAAGCAAAGCTCCCACCAGATTCTCCTTTCCCATGACTGTATTCTACCTGGCCTGTAAAAAAGGACAAGAAAATAAAGATTCGCTATTAGTGATTTCTGCCCTTATTTCTGAAGCATGAGGTGGGAATCTGATTGGTATTCACACCAGTGAATCAATTAACACCTTCCTCACTTTGATATTGCTGTAGACATTTTAATCTAAAGTTTTCAGTTCCTCCCTTTCCCCTCCCACTATTGACTTCCTCGTAATAAAAAACACTCTCATAATAAAATCATCCCAAGTAGGACTGCTTTATGGTTGAGGCTTAGCTTTTGTGAAAGATTCTAAGGAAGTCTCATGAGTAACCAGATTAACAAAATTGCCCACATGGAATATGTGCAGCAACAGCACCCACATCATTGGTTATACACCCATGTCACAGGGCAAGGGACACGGAGCCACAGTCCGTATTCCTCCCAGAGCTCATCAATCCCATTTCCCAGTGCAGCTTTAAGTCCTTTTTGAAACAACACCGGATATAACCAACCAAAGAGTTAACAGATAAACTCTACATCGAAGTCAAAAGGATCGAAAGGGACAAGCTCAACATCTTACATTTTTGTTCAGGGACAGTCTCACTACCAAGTACCTAGCAATGTAAATAGAACCAAACATCTGGGGAGAGGTGCCTGGTCTCATTTTTAAAAAGGAGATATTGAGGCAAGGATAACTAAGATATTACTATCCCTTTGTCTATTCCACTCCCTTTGGCAAAGTACAGACAGGTCCAGTGAGAATTTAGCTGCTACCCATTTTGAGTGTTAATGCATGGACAAGACCGTTATTTCCTCTCCTGAGGACATATTTCCACCTCTAAATGGAATTGCACATCATCACATGACTTTGGATTTGGGTTACTTTTCTCCCCCATTACATAACTTTTTTTTTTTCTTTTACCCCTGGAAGAATTGTACAGTAACTACGTAGCATTTAACACTTATGCTTTTACATTACATCAGCATTTCCTGGAGGAGGGATGAGCTATGTAATCTCCCCTAGGCAGCTCCGATTTATGCCCTTCCATTTTGCTTAGTTCATTAACTTGTGCTCTTTGGGGAGCTAAAAAAGAGATATAAATTGTTCACCTAAGGCAGGCATAATTTTCACCTTAATCCATCCCAATTCACTTCTTTTTCCTTTCTCCCTCTCACGCACACTTTTGAGCATCATAGCAAGTCAAAGTGATTTTTTTCCCTCCATAATCGCCCCAAATTTCATCAATGCTATGTCAAGGCATGAACACATTTTAGCCAAGAAGGATAGTTTTTTTTTTTTTAAACAAAAAATTGAGGAGACAAGAAAGCATAAATGGAACTATAACTCAGCTCTTATTCAAAACAAAGAGTGCAGTGTGCTGCCATAAGCTACCAGGCATTGAACTCCCATTTTACTACTGTGGGTAGCTCTGTAGAAGTCTGTACAGGCAGAAGTGAGGTAGCTGACCTTGGGTAATGTCAGCCTGGGTGAAACTCCGGATGGGGCCTTTAACGGAGATTTGGTCTCGGTTGTCATGCTTTACCATCTGCAGGCGCCCTGCCCCAGGATCTTCCTTCATGATGTACATCACCTGACGGTCATCTGAGTCAGTATCTGTCACTCTCAAGTGCTGTTCTGTGATGCGTGCCACAGACCCTGGGAGAGAATGGGAGAGGTTAGGTCACTGCCCATCATTGCCTTTGAATAGTATGTCAAGTGATTTGGGGAGGCTAGAGACTAAATTATCACATATTGCCTTGGTTTATGTACCAGGTGCTTGCTTGCCCTTCTTCGTCTCCAGATGCATACATTTTAATTTCCCTAGTTGAAACAGTCCCCACCTCCAGTTTGTTAATCATCACTCTCTCTATGCTCTCTCTACTCCTGTGACCTATCAGTTACCCCTCCCTCAATCTATGTTGTAACTCCCAGATCTATGATGAAACCTGTTTGGACCTAACTTATTTGCTGTCTTATTTTTTATTTTTTTTTTTAGTGCTTATGTATTTATTTTGAGAGAGAGTGAGCAGTGGAGGGGCACACAGAGAGAGAAAGAGAGAGAATCCCAAGCAGGCGCTGCACTATCAGTATGGAGCCCGATGCAGGGCTCAAACTCATGAACTGTGAGATCATGATCTGAGCCAAAATCAAGAGTCTGATGCTTAGCTGACTAGCCACCCAGGTGTCCTAACGTATTTATTGTCTTCAGGATCACCAAATCATAAGAGACAGCTTCACATAAGCTTACAAATATATCTTGTTGCCATCTCAGACCAAATAGTTAAAATCCATGTTTACAAAGATTACAAATAGGGAGACCCGAGTGCTGGGCCTTGTAAGGCCGTGCAGGTGTTGGGGATGGAGGCAAGGCACTTGCCCCTTGCTTTCCTGTCCAGCCATTTTCTCACATTAAAAACAGTAAATTCTGGTATGCAGATCTTAGTCATTCTTGCGTAACACATCCTGGTGTCTGGCTGGGCCCTGAGCATCCTGTGTGTTCTCGCTGGGTAACGCCAACAGTGCAAGGCCTAACCATTCTTTCCTCAGGCCATTCTCAGCAAGTGGCCCTGAGGGATGAAGTGGCATCCTCCTCTGGGACAAAGATCAGGCTTTCTTACTGTCACTACAAGGTGGGGTGGGGGGACGCCAGGCTCCGTGCTCCTCTTCTATAATGCATCCATTGCATGTGAAGGCACCCATCTGGGCCTTCTGCGTCACCTCCACCAGACTTGGAGTGCAGAGGGAGACAAGTGCAGAGTGCAGACTTACCGATGGCAATGCTTCCGGTTATGCTGTGAGTAACAAAGCACTCAGTCTCTGACCGAGGAGCCTCAAGTGTTCTATCAGCACTCACGAAACGGTAACAGGCTAACTCACTAGCTTATAAATAGGGTAAAGGTAAATCTCAGACCTAATAATTGGGACTTTTGGGAATCTCCAGAGTTTCAAATACCATTATGCCATATAGTTTTCACTACAAAATACATGTGGGGCACCTGGGTGGCTCAGTTGGTTGAGAGCCCAACTGAGGCTCAGGTCATAATCTGGCGGTTCATGAGTTCAAGACCCACACTGGGCTCTCTGCTGTCAGTGCAGAGCCTGCTTCGGATGCTCTGCCCTGTCTCTCTGCCCCTCCCCATCTTGCATTCTCTCAAAATTAAATAGACATTATATACATATATGAGGAGTAGGAAAAAAAAAAACCAGGACCCCACCCAGGGTGATGCAGATGTTTTGTGGGCAAAAGGCCCACTCTCTAATTCAGTAACTCCCTACCGCAACTGACTTTGAGACTGACACGTGTCCCAGGTCCTTCAGTCCAGCTTATGTGTAGGCAAAATTGTGAAGTTAGACCCTAGGATACTATATCTAATGATTCTCAATTATTTTCATAATCTCTTTTGGTGTATGATAATTTCCCCAGTTGCCCCCCATGCCTCCCCACCCACTTATTTTTTTTTTTTAAATGAGTATCTTGAGAATTCTGCTTGAGTTTTTTTGTTGTTATTGTTGTTTTGCTTTTTTCTGTGGGATTGGTTGGGCAGTGGCCCTGTTCTAAGAAACCTGGTCCTATGAGTAGCTGGATAAATTAAGGTTTCTGAGGGTCTTGGAAGTACTATAAGTTCTTCTTAATCTTTTCTTGAATTCAAACACAAAGGTATCTGGTCCAAAGAATTTAAGAGATCTACATTAGTCAATCATAACTCTTAGTGTCCTTAAAAGAATAGTTCTCCCCACCTCCAGTCTCCCTGAGTTCTGAATGCCTACTTCACTATCCTCCCACAGAACAAACGTGCACACAGACAAGAAAGAAATAAGGACAGAGGGACCACAGCCACTCTCTTCCATTCCTGTGGTACCTGCTGAGAGTTGAAGGACTCGGTTTACAGCCAAGTGGGGGGCGCTGCTTGTAGGCAGCTCTATGTATATCTCCATCCTCCCTGTGTCCATGTAGAGGCCATCCGTGAGGGAGAACCGGAACTCATCCACTGCCACACCGGGACCACCAGGCATGTACCCGACCAGTCCAGCCAGGATGTCCTGGTAGGTGAAGGAGGAGCCCTGAGCTAAAACCCTCCCGTTCTTCAGAGGCTCAGAAGCAGTTTGCCTCCAGAGCAGACGACCTGAGGAAAAAAGTAAAGAAAAACAAAGAAAAAGTGGGAGAATACATATGGCGCCAAAACTTGGCTTGGCTTTGTCAACTAGTATGAGCCTGGGTAAGATGTCAAGCACCTCAGAGTCTCTTGGTGTCACACGCACATAAATGACCAACAACTCAGAATTTTCTAAATATTTAAGCACTGCCCTGTGGCCTCATCTACAAATAAATATGATAAAATCCTCCTTTTCCTGTTTAAAAATCTCTTAAGGAGACACAATGGATGTGGTAATACAGTGGCTTAGAAGTCAAGTCTCCCTCCATGAATTCAAACTCACGCCACTATTTAAACCTTATTTTTCCCTTCTACAAAGTGAAATTAGCACTCGTCACTTGCTGCTTTCCTTCTGGGGCATCTGGGATGGGAGAAGGGACTGTGTTTTCAATTCCATTTAAATTCAGAAAGACACAAGACATCTTTGGGTGGAGGCATCTTTTTCTGTCTTCAAGGGTCATGTGTATCACAATGAGACAGTTAAAGTGCTTCATTAAAGAAAGTGAAAGTGAAGGAAGGGACGATAAAATGCAATGACCAACAGACTCTTCTATTAACCTTCCATCAACAGCAACAACTTCATCTTTAAAAGACCAAGAGTGTTATGATACACTAGGATACCACGTGGGAGATGAAAGTTCCAGAGCTTTAGCTAGTACCAGAGGGATGGCACTTAGAAAACAAGTAGGTAAAAGATTCCCATGGTGGTTTTTACCTCTGGTTTAATCAGGAAAAGTGCTTTCTTTGCAAAAGGACCAGGCTCATAAAGATACCTAGCACACCTCTAACCTGAAGTGCATACCTTGTGCAATTAATATCAAGGTGGCCATGCTGTTCCTTGCATGAGATGGCCCAGGATTAACAAGCAATGAAGCCCTACTCTGACAAGAGGACTCTAAACCCATTTTGCCTGAGGTTATACAGGCAAGCAGGAAAAGAGCTGAAATTGAATTTCAGATACACCAATTACCTAGGATTCAGGCTTTTAGAGCAACTGGTGTCAACTGTGACCCCAAGAATATTGGCTAGCTGTGAATCTGATTATACTTTGATGCAAAGAATGGACTATGTACAGGTGAGGTGGAGGAATAACCAACAGAAATCTACATGTTTATTCTAACAACCTGTTGGGCATCTCAATTAAGAAGCTCGCCATAGCAGTTGTGTCCTACCGTGGTCAGGCTTTTTTGTCAATACAAAAACCAGCTCATTATCCGGAGTGTCCAGATCTTGCAGGCTCAAAGAAGAATTGCTTATCACCACTCCCGAGCTGAGCTGCACACCAAGGGGCCGCAAGGTCATCCTGGGAGGCTCATCGTTCTTCCTCTGATTAAAGTATAAAATATCAGGTCTCACACAGATATTGGTTTAAGAAGAAAGAAAATGTATCTTATTCAGAGAAAGTAACATATTCACACCAACTTTCACTATTGAAATAGCATGTCATGTGTCACAATCTTTAATTCCCCATCAAAATGGTTAGTTGGGAAAGACAGCAAACCACACAAGCAAAATGTCTCCTTGAAAAGAAACTGACGTTCTACAGAAATCGCCTTGGATGTTTTCCACAGGTACAATGATCATGGTTTTCATGGACATGTGGTTGGAGAAGTGCAAGCATATTTGGGGGACAAAATAACACATTCTTTGAAATCAGAACTGTCTTGGAAAGCCCCAAAATACCACAGTACTGTAGGAGGCCATCATATTTAAAAGTGTGAGTCTCTCAGAGTCTCCCTGACCCTGTGCCAGCCCCGCTTTACGATTCCTGAAGGGTAGGGTATTGAGGATATTTTCCCAAGGCAGAGGGTATTCCATGCTGAGTTTTATCTTTTATCTTTCTCTCTCCCCGGGCTGGTAGAGCAAGCTATGTAATTGCTCAAACGAGAATAAATACAGCATCAAAGGACACATTTCTTTGATGTTACAATTTAACGAATAAATGCATTAAAATATAAGAAAAGGCAAATGTGTATCTAGAACTACATATAATAATTTCAGGGAAAAATAGGCATATGTTAGTTTTTGTCTAAATATGAGATTGCCAGGGTTTCTCTTGTATGACCCTCACAAACTGCTCTTACACAGAATGAATACATTTTACCCTGAAGTGAAAATTCAGATTTCCAAGTCAGACCATCCCCAAATGCCAGCCTTAATTCTACAAGTTTCCTAAAGGTCAGGGTTATATTTTTAAATTGACCTCTAAAACTGAAGGTCAAATGGAATCTTTTTTGCTTTTCAGTTCATATAGAGCTATCTCATCATGGGATATTGTCATCAAAGGCCCAACTTTTCCAACTTCAAAGTCTTTACCTCAATGGTGATATTGATGCTGTGGATCTCTGAACGACTGTTTCCATCACTTACATAAAAACTAAAAATGTCATGGGTTGGCTCAATGCTTTCATGAACACTTTGAAAGTAGTAAATGTAGTTTTCTAGGACATCTTGAATAGGGAATGATGCCTCCAGGTCACTGGTGGTTCCAGGGCCAAAACGATCACCTGCATCAACATCAAGAGAGAACTTTTACCTTGATCCCTCAATTCCTGCTTACTAGGCTGAACTAGAAAACATGACACTATTATCAACAAAAGATGAAAATTCATTAGAGGATAAAAATGGAGAATGGAAAGGGCACAAGACTAGCAATATAAGACTTGAGGTTTGATCCCTGTTTCCCTCCTATTCCTCATCTATACATGGTTATATTTGCCCTGCTGTTTCCACAGGGAATCAAATGATATAATATGCATGAAAGCACTCAGAATGTTATTATTTTATATAGCAAGAATCAGGTTGTTTTGTTAGAAATCTGTGATAAAGTAAATCCTGGGGCAAGTAACGATACAATAGCAAAGGTTCTACCTTAAGCCTTAGTCAATTTCAAAACCACTATGCCTAGCACATCCTGCAAGAGGAAGCCTCCTTCTCTATATAAAAAAAGGCTAACTCTATACCTTTTTATCTAAGAAACCTCCCCTTGGGTCAGAGCTTAGACCCTGGGATGGTACACCAGGGCTACTGTGATGCTCGGGGACCATTCAGAGCTTAGGTGCCATTCAGCGACTGAGATTCTCAAGTATCATTCAGAGCTCCAGAGATAGAGCAGGTTCTGGTTAACTCTACTTTTCATACCAACCCCAACCAAACACTGGAAAAGGGCAAGAGGGAGAGTAAGCACTGTCTACATGACAGATGACTTGTCTCTTTTTTGGTGTGAGTCTCTCTAATTGGTCGATTTTAAACTGTTACCACATTTTCTTCTAAAGAGAGGAGAAAAAGAAAAGAAATCCCTGTGTCTTCAAACATTCCCTGGATACACATCAACAAAGAAAAGTGTATATAGAAGATCTCAAAACAACAAGGCTTTCTTTTTCTCTCTTCCATGGCCCTTTGCAAAGATCGGGTCATAAATCAAAAGGCCATTGACTTCCTGAATTATAGATAGTATCATT